GCTTATATAACAAAATAGAGAACCTCATCTCACAATCCTAATCGATGTGGGACTAAATCAAGCACCATACTACTAACAATTGGTATCAGAGCCAAGGTCACGAGTTCGATTCCTGGTGGGCAATTGTTGAGGGGGAGATTGTTGCAGGTTGCACAATTGTCCCGTGGCAGAGGCCGGGTGGGCCAAGTCACAATCCAAGAGTGGGATACCTTGTAGGACAATTGCTGAGGGGGAGATTGTTGCAGGTAGCATCAATTGTCCTATGACGAAGGTCAGGTGGGCCGAGTCACAATTGAATCGTGGCGCTTGGGCTTTTAAAGTAAAAAGAGTTGTGCTCTGACTAATGGCTATAGCTTTTGGCCTAGTGGTAAGCGCTCGATCCTAACAGTTAGAGTGAATGACGTTACATGGAATGACCACTAGTGTGTTTGAGGGGATATACCAATGTAAGGAAATATGACCCATAATCTAATGCCTTAAGATTTTTGGTTGAGAATAATATCAATCCCTTGTGTGGGTTGGACTCATGTTTGATTTGATGTGTTTCTCTCGTGTGAATCTTCCTCTATAAACTCAACAAATACTTCATATATAATATTTTTTAAGTTTTAGAGATTAATCTTATACCACCTTTTGATTTCATATATTCTAAAGAGATTATTTACTCCATAAAACACTATTTAAAAATTATTTAATAAAATAAATATTACATTTCATATAAAAAAGTAATTAAAGGTTAACATACAAAGCATCTTACTGTTTTAAGAACAATCCTTAAAAAATCACTGAAAAATTAAAGAATAACACATTTCTTAATTATAATACTTTATTTATACTCAAACTTTATCTTCCTATCACATAAAAAAAAAAAAATAATATATATATATATATATATATATATATATATATATATATATATATATATATATATATATATTTAGAAGGTCCCGTATTACTTTATTTTCCATTTAGAAGAAAAATGTTAAAAGTGAAAAGAAAGTGATATTTTCAAAATCATTTTTCTCTCATCTCTCCAAAACAAATATGAGTATTTTTATAATTATAGAAATGTTTAATTTTTATTTATTTATTATTTTTAAAAATAATAATTATTCTTATTTATTTCTCTTAGCTTAGGGATTTCCATGGATGGTAAAGCCATTCCTTCTTCTGCCTTTGATTCTGATTCCGAGGACTAAAGGTTGTGGTCTTTGATTCTTCAACAACTATTAAAGGTTGTGGTCAATGATTCCTCAACAACTTTAATGACAGGCTGCGGTCTCTGATCCTTCTTCAACATCAATGCTATTTTATTACCTGCCAGTGTAGGTAATGTTCTTTGTTTCAGTTTATATTATTGACAAAATCATCTTGAGCCATTAGACCTCTCTCAATCCAATTCTTAGAATTTTGTCCAGGCTTACTTTTTGTCGGTTGCATATAGTATACAGTTTTTGCGAAAAGAATTGCCAATAACAGGTTGGTCATCACTAGATTCAACATCAATCTCATTAACGAAGAACGGCTAACTTGAATAATACTTAATCCGACTCCGTTTATATTCACAAGACTTAAAATAGAAGTGATATTTATTCATTAAAGACCAACCCATAATGTTTTTTACATTGATTATAGAACAGAATAACCCTAATTAAAAAACAACATTTATAGTTACATTGTTCAGAATAACTCTCTTCTCAATTAATCAATAAAGGATAAATAACAAATATATCTTATCCCATATACAATTTTTGGGTGTGCCTATTAACCTGAAAGTTTACTCTAGATAATAATTAACTTGAAGAGGACCGACTCAAAAATCTCATAGGTTAAATAAAAATAAGTCTAAGATAGGAAAAAATAGACTTCATTTATTTTTGACAATAACATCTAATATTGTTTGTGGGATAAATTTTTTTTTTCTTTTCCCACTTTCCAACAATGATCACGCGCAATATGCGAGCGAATTCTCAAGTTGTGGGAGACAATCACATCACGATTCAACGCATGATGGAACAACTACATAAACAACATGAACAGGCTTAGTTGAGGGGCGGAGAGAGCTTGGAGTGAACAACCCAACTGCAGTAGAAAAATGAGAAACTTCAACAAACCCTCAACAACTATTGGCACACAGAGGGAGGCCACCAACCCACCATGAGAGTTCCAACCATTCTTGGTCACGGTCATCATTATGAGCAAGCTCATACCTCCTTACTATTTGATCCCTAAGATGCAGCCTTTCCATGGCACTGGATATCCAGTCACCCATCTGAAAACCTTTCAGGCTCATATAATTATTAGTGGGAGGACTGATGGGGTCCGTTGTAAGATGTTTGTAGGAACCCTAATTGCCACGACCCTAGATTGGTTTAGCGGGTAACCGGACACGAACATAACATCGTCTGAAGACTTGTCGAGAATGTTTATGGCCCAGTTGGCGGCCAACAAGCTTAAACCCCCAAAGTTAAGAGACATGTTCGACATCAAGCAACAAAGCACCGAGTCATTAAATGACTATTTGATATGCTTCATGAAGGGGATACATTCGGACCCTTTCGCAAAGTCATTGACATAAAGACCATCGATCGACATGTCTGAAGTGAGGTATCCAGTTGCCTCACATATAGAAGTCGAGGAAGTCATGAGCCAAAAAAAAAAAGGCAAGGAAAAGTATTTGAGCTCTCGGCAGAGATCCCTAGAAGACAAATGGAAGAGAAGCAATAGGCGTAAAGGCAATACCCGGAGGTACCCCAAATCCCTATGGTCGGCCTGATGAGGATACCTGTCAACCATCGAGAAATGTACAGATTCCTTCTAACATGACGAGTAAGCAAATATTACGAGATGTCAATGTAGCAAGGTTATTTACCTACCCCCGAAGAGCTTACCACCAGTTAGGCCCAAATCGGTATGTATGGTGTCATTTCCATCGATGTTGGGGGCATGACATAAAAAAATGTTACGCTCTCATTCAATAGATTGAGGAATTAATCTGATAAGGTTCTCTACAGCGTAAAGATGCGTATGAAAGAGATGAACACCAAAGAGCTCGAGTCGCGGGCAAAAGACGAACACGAGACGCCCATTCTAGGTGACCTTAACACAATAGTCGAAGGGTTTGCTGGAGGAAACAACACAAAATTTGCTAGAAGGCGATACTCGAGAGCATTCTCCCAAGTACTGCAACTTTCCCGTAGTACCCCGTCGGATTCAGCCACTCGTCATAGTCTAATCTTTTTCGGACAACGACCTAGAGTGTGTCTTCCCCCACCAAGATGACATTGTCGTCATTAGCGTAATCATGATTAGTAGGAACGTGTGTCGCATCCTCGTTAACCAGGGTAGGTCAGCGGATGTACCAAAGACTAATGGACATAATCCTCCGACCACTCCTCGATCCCATGTGGAAGCATATGTTGATGACATTTTAATCAAGTCTGTAATGGGCCAATACCATCCCAACGACTTGGTTGTGCTTTTCAAAACGCTCCATCAACACAACCTGAAGCTTAATCCAGAGAAGTGTGTATTTGGTGTTCAGTTGGGCAAGTTTTTAGGATTCATGCTGACTCAAAGGGGGATTGAGACCAACTCTGAGAAATGCTCGACTATCATCAACATGAGAAGCCCATTTAACCCGAAGGAAGTGTAGCAACTCTCTAGTTGAATGACTACATTGTCCCGTTTCCTATCCAAAGCGGACTGAGGCTTTACCTACTTGTCTATAGTAGAATAAATAGTTTATATAGTCAGACAAATGTGAGCAAGCGTTCTCATAGCTAAAGACATTCTTGTCCAACCCTACGATCCTGTTGAAACCAAAGGGAGATAGTCCATTACAGCTCTACATCACAATAACAAACTGAGTTGTCAGTTCGGCTTTAGCCTAAGAAATTAAAGGGTTGGTACGACCCATTTACTTTGTTAGTTGAGTTCTCCAGGGTGTCAAAAACCGATACCAAAAGATAGAACAAACAACATTAGCCATTGTGGTCATAACACGATAGTCACTATTTCTAGAGCTTTCTAATGATAGTCAAGACCGACTTACCGATAAAACATGTTTTGCAAAATCCAGATCTCATCGATTGAATGGTAAAATGGGTAGTCAAACTTTTTGAATACGACATTAGTTACGACCCTCGGAGACCCATTAAAGCTTAATTTCTTATCAATTTTGTGACCAAACTCACATCGTCACCTGATATCCGACTCGACGGCGACAACCAGGAACCTTGTGTGTTGTCTGTTGACGACGCTTCCAACTTAAGCGAAAATGGGTTGGAATCATATTAGAGCTTTTAAATGGTATGATGATCGAACAATCACTCTACTTCGCCTTCAAAGCCAAAAATAATTAGGTAGAATACGAGGCACTATTAGCTAACATGAAACTGGCCACCGAGATGAGAGTCAACAAGCTCATTGTTAAGAGTGACTCACAGCTCGTTATCGGACAAGTTATAGGAAGGTACCGAGCTCGAGACCCGTGGTTGACCCACTATTTGAAAGAAGTGAAACTCTTAATACAATCCTTCAGCACGTTCAACATCGTCCATGTACCGAGAGAACAAAATTTTAGAGCTTGCCTCTTATCAAAGTTGGCTAGCACGAAGAGACCTAGCAACAATCGGTCAATCATATAGGAAACACTTGCATCCCTAACTATCACCACGGTGGCGACCCCTATACTCAATATAAAAGCTTAACACTCTTGGATGCAACCATACATGACATATTTCAAGCATGGCACAGAACCTACCAAAAAAGACAAGATGACACAATTTTTAAAATAGGGTTGCTAGATTTACCATAATCGACAAAAAAACTCTTTCATCATGGATTCTCAGCCCCATTACTCCAATGCATTTTTGAAGCTTATGCATCTGAAGTCGTGACAGGACTATATGAGGGACCTGGTGGTGGACACACCAAAAGTTGTGCTTTGGTAGCAAAGATCTTACGAGCAGCAAGTTACTACTAGTCATCTATAAGACATGATTGTGTACAACACATTTGACACTGCCATCAATGTCAATTGCATGGCGATGCAAACACTGCACTCCCAAAACCTCCAACACAGTTGTATGTCCATGACTTTTTAATAAATGGGGAATGGACGTATTCAATCCCTTTCTGAATGTCGCGCACCAAGTTAAATTTCTACCTGTAGCAATTGACTACTTCACAAATTGGTTCAAGGCTAAATCGGTCGCGCCAATATCCGTTGACAAAGTATGCAGCTTCATTTGGAAGACAATCATATACCGTTTCAGAGTGCCACACACCATCATCACAAACAATGGCACCCGGTTTGCCAGTCGTCAACTCCACAAATTATGCACTCATTTTCATGTAAGACACATCTTTGCATTAGTCAAGCACCCCCAGACAAATGGTCAAGTCGAAGCAACAAACAAGATAATCCTTAAGGGATTAAAATGAAGACTATGAGAATAAACGACATTTTGGGTAGCCGAGTTACCCTATTTCCTTTGGTAACCAAATAGCTATGCAAGAGACACCTTTTAGCTTGGTTTATGGAATAGATGTGATACTTCCCATCGAAGTTGTTGAGTCCACCAAACGGGATTTACTGAGAGAGGTTATGAACGTGCGCTCAGGGTAGGCCTTGATTGTATTGATGCAATATGCGACAAAACTTACATATGGATTGAGGCGACAAAACATCGAGCCTACCCGACCTATTCCACAAGGACTCGCTCTCGAGAGTTCAAGGTATCAAACCTTATGTTGCAATGTGCCCAACCAAACTAAGTCCACAACAAGCTTTCGGCCCAATGGACAAACCCTTATGGAGTGGCAAACATAGTCGAAAATGACACATATCGACTAAAAATCCTTAATGGATGACCCATCCCCCAAACATGGAACGCTGCTAGCTTACACTTTTATTACAACTGATTTATTTTCTATTTATATGTTGGAAGCTCCTTTAGTGAATAAACTCTTGTATTAATAAAATTGGAGGTTTTTTCTTCCCCTCTCAGGGTTTTTCCTCCAAGTTGGATGAATAAAATAAATGTTAAATGGAAAGCTCAGATTTCTCTACATAAGCGACCCTGTGAGGTCGGTTTAAATAAGCGATTCTATGAGGTCGGTCTACATAACGACCCTATGAGGTCGGTCAACGTAACGACCCTGTGAGGTCGGCCTACATAAGTGATCCTGTGAGGTCATTCTACGTAAGGACACTGTGAAGTACATAATGACCCTGTGAGGTCGGCCTATGTAACGACCTGTGAGGTCGGACTACGTAATGACCCAGTGACATCGGGCTACGTAATGACCCAGTGACATCGGTCTACATAAGCAACCCTATGAGGTCGATTTACATAAAGACCATGTGAAGTACATAACGACCACGAAACAAATGCAATCTAACAACAAATATAGTATGATCATCACATCAAGCATCGAGAGTTCGATATAAAAATACATGTGCGTATTCAAAAGTAAAATAGAGTATTGATTAATACACACATACAATAAATATAAATAGTACAAAAATTCAAAATAATCATTAATCGTCTTACTCCTTGATTATCTTACCATCCACTATGCTCTTGAATGGTCCCATAGAGGATACATTGGCATCAGGAAAGAAGACTGCCATTTGTTCCATAGCACCTATGAAGCAAGTTACATACATCTTAGTAATTTCAATCTTCGCGACATCCTCATCCTGTTGGAGATCCATCTTGTCCTTTGTCAACGCAATAATTTTCTCCTCCATGTAGCCAAATTCCAAGGTGTGGTTATGGCGAAAAGTTTCGTGCGCCTTCTTCTCCGTCTTCAAATTAGCCTTCATTTTCCGCAATAGCTTCGTGGTGGTTGCGTGAGCTTTCCCACACTTGTCCAATTTCTCCAAGGTGCGAAGTTCGTGCTCCTCGTCTTTTTTCTTACCTTCTATAGCCAACTCGGCCTCACGAACCTTCTTTTTTTTGTGAACAATGATAGTGTTTGTCGTTGACAGTAGTGAGTGCAAGGTTAAGGCTATCTCTCCCTCGCTCATAAGAAGGAGCTTTGAGAGTGTCTCACTTAGCATACCCCATTACTCTTGACGGAGGACTCGAGTGTCGAGGTCACCACAACAGTCTCGGATGTTGACACAACTTTATGCTTCTGAGTTAAATGTGTGTCAAATTCGGTTCTCTCAGATCCGGAACCGATGCCTTCCACTCAGGGAGTTGCACATGGCTCCCCGACCACACTTACCTTAAGGGTCGACTTCTCAGCAGTCATAACCTCTCGTAGACGACAACCCATCTCCTTTGAAAAGGTTATTTTCCTTTCTGCAGAGTCAAAGAAAGTCATGACAAAACATACAAGACAACATTCAAGCCAAAAAATTAGCATTCGAAAGAAGGAAATTACCTATATAAACTTTTAAGTATATAGCCTGAAACTCTAACTTAAGGAGCATAGACGTCTCAAACACTGCATTGAGCCGCTATAGCATCACGCAATGTTCGACTTCATCTTTTTCTAGGTCACATAGTTGTTTGGCAGCTCGGAAACAGGGATTGGTTGTCCAATAATAGGGAAAACCATCGTACCAGAGTGGGGTTTGACCTAGGCGCTCAGATTTTGACAAACCAACCCTTGAAATGTTTATACGACGATTGAAATAAGGAGAAGAGTCATCGATTGGGTACTCCACTAACAGAAACCCAAGAGGTCCTCTTGGTTGTCTAACAATTAAAAAAAATAAAAGAACATAGTTTATGAAGGAATGATGTCCAAATGGGCAGAGTGAATATCAAATACTCGGATAAAAGTCAAACTGTTTGGGTGAAGTTGGGCTAGAGCGACATTTAACGTGGTCAAAACCTCTTTTTCAAAAAAACTAAAAGGAAGACGCAAACCTAGTTTAGTAAACACAATATCATACAAGAAGAAGAATGACTTGGGATCCCCTTCTTGATCCCTACACAGGCTCAGTAGGATCACACAATTCTAAGATCAAATCTTTCTCATTACCAGAGCCGCTCAAGGATTGATTATTTTGAAAAATTTTCAATAATTTCGAAGAAGTATACCTAGATATTTCATGAAGGATTTCTAATTTACCCTAGGGATACAACACAGTGTCACTTTCTTCCTTAATATCCCTATCAACCATGGCCTCTAAACTATCGCAGTATAAACACAAGCAAAAATGCAAAAAAGAAGAAGAAGGAAAGCACAATACACCTAAGAATCGACAGAAGCACGAAGATGAAGGAGAAAATTTAACGCAATAGTAAAATAGAAAAAAAGCGACAAATGGGATGTGAAAGGGGGATAAAGTATTAGGCGAGGTAGACAAAGGGACATGATGAAAAACACGTGCACGATGCATGCGTGATGTGAAAGGATGTGACATAATGTCAGCAACAGTCTTTAATACAACGTTTATAATAACGTCTGACATTTAATTTGCTTGAGAAAAGACTTGGGTTAAATAATTAGTGTAACTCGAGTAAAGACCGATAATTAACGAAGCTACAAAAATAGTTGACTTAACTAAGCCTCCACGTTGACGCTTGAGGCTAGGGGTTGTGTAGTGTACAGAATAACTCCTCAAATAAGAAGATATTTCACTTCAGATACGATTCTGAGGTGTCCGCCTATTAACCTGAAAGCTGACTCTAGATAATAATCAACTCGAAGAGGATCGACTCAAAAAGCCCATAGAGATGGGATAAAAACAAGTCTAAAAAAAAAAAAAAACTCCATTGAATACAACCTACTTTTATAAACTACAATACTAATAAACAAATAAGAGAAGATTATGAATGAGAAAAGTGGTATTTAGCTCTCTCGGATGTCTAAACAAGGCAGATAGTGGTGGGGAGTTTTGGTGTAGTAGGATGAGTTGATGGAAGGACTTTGAACGTGGAGCTTAGTTGGTTGCAAAATTGGTTTGAGATGTGTTAAGGGGAGATGATGGTTAAAGGGCAAGAGACTAAGGTTGTTTGTCGCTCAAAGCCAGGAGTGGGTTGTTGTGACCAGGCTTAGGCTGCAAAACAGGACATTTGATGTTGAGGTTGGTTCCGTGGCAATGGCACACGATGATGGTGATGTGATGGTGCTGTTACTTTGTTTCCTTGGATACGCATCGGATAAACCGCCCATTAATTTCTATATTTACATGACACTGTCACAATGGTTACTATAACAAAAATGCTTCAACGATGAGCAATGGACACTGAATTTTCACACTCCCGTCTCCGTGTACCATAAAAAAACACTAGCGCCTGTGATCCACACACATATGAGAATTTAAATATAAATAAGACGACTTTCCAATAGAAACTCATAATTGTGAACATCCATTTGATCACCTTCACTAGCATAATCTGTGACGATGAGATTGGCATTGGACTTTCTTGGAAAGTCGAATTGACTTAAATCAGACACTCTTTTAAGGGTCAACATTAAATTCTTATTTCTTAAAGTTTTAGTGGTTCAACATGAATGGTTCCCCTATTATAAATTTTTTAATCCAAAATCAGCAGTCATATGAACTCAGAATCATTTTTAGTGAAAATACATGAAGGAATCTGTCGACAAATAATTTGTGATCATATGCCTGCTACAACATCTTCAAATAACAATAATAAACTTTTTCTACAGAAACACTTGGACAAATATTCTACAATAATGTAAAAGAAAACCCCACGTAGCCTTTCTAGGGAATACTTCACATGAAGTGTAAAATTATCTGCGGTAGCGGTGGCGTTTGAAATTGAAGTACACATGCAGAATTCCACGTTCAAATGTGCACTTAAAACCTTTCTTATGTGAATATTCCCATTCTTTGTTTACGATGCGAAAAGCCTGTGATGAAAAACACAAAGAAATAAGTAAATTGATTGAAAATTAAATATCCTCAATAGCACAAAGGATATAGACTTACTATGTCTTCGTATGGTGGCCCAGCATGAAATCTTATAATGCAAGTCTCCCCATTGCTGCCATCCTTCTCAATGGTGTAGGTTGGAGCTTTTGTCTTGTCTACTAGATCAGGATAGAAAATATTAAATTTGTATCCTTGCACAATCTTTGGAGGTGGGTTGTCATGATCATAATGAGTCTGATTATATTTGTTCCACTCGTATCCAGTGTGAACACGATTGAAATACTTCGGCTTCCTAGGCCTGTATTTGTCATGCCACCAGTAAACCTGCTCCAATCCAACATTAATCAGACCATCAGAAATACTGCCTTTAAATAGTGTTTCACCTAACTGTTCCTACATTTTCTTCTACTAAAAATTGATAGAAGTTGGGCAAAACACATTAAGGAACTTATTTTTAACAGGAGAAAAAGAGGGAAGGTAGCTTTTAAAACCAAAACTAACCGAAGTATCTTTTAAAATTGATCTCTAAAATATTGTATACCTATCTAATAACTCATATTTTTCTATTCAAAGAATCCTAGCAAGGGAAAGGTAACGTCATATGACATTCCATAAATGTCATGTCATATAAGGCCAAGCAAGACATTGTACCTGGGAATCCAGGTTCACTTCAGCACCAGATCCAAACACAGCATCTCCATCCTCCATATCTCCCATAGCTTTTAAGGCCTTCATCTCAAAATTATCTTCAGAAGGAGCTGGCTTTGATGCCATTGCTTCCTGAACTCGTCTTTGTTGCTCTTCTAATACAGCCTTACGATTCCGCTCCTACAAATGTACTTACAGGGTAAAGTTATAAAATATCTAAATTAAGTAGAGATCAGAATTGAAAATTATGGTTAGATAGATTACCAGCATGGCTCTGTCCTCTTCAGGGTCAATAGCTTCCTCACTTTCATCACCATGCAACAGTTGTGGCGAAAATGATCCAGCCTCGTCTTCAGCTTCTTGCTCTTCTATAATGGGCTCCGGTGAAAATGATTTATCTGGAGATCGGACTAGCAAGTAAAAGAAACAAAGCAAATTTCAGTATTAAAATCGAGATGATTGGAGCCAATAAATATTGTTTCATGAACAACTAAATGTCCATAACACAAATAGCTTATACCCTTAATATCATCCCCAGTATCTTCCTCCTCCTCAGGTATCATTATGTTAGCATCCTCCAATTTATCTTCATCCTCCAATGGTTTCTCTAGGGATTGCAAATGCTTACGTAGCAATTTAGCATGAATTTCTTTTAAACAAGCCTGTATTTGGAACAATTTAATAATAGTCAAAAGAAACCATGACTAAAGCCATGTAAGAGAATTGGAAATTAATGTGATGGAGAATACCTTGGCTTTATAAATGTGGAGATGTTTTAAAATGGCCTCCCAGTACTCAACCACCTTTGCTGTACCAGTACGCATTTCTGATTCAATGTGAACCCGTAAAGCCTCCAATTCTGCATGTGTCTTCCCCTGCAAAAGGATCTTCACATCTGGCTCAACACTGGAATGGAGACCCCTTTCTTCTGCAAGAAGCTCAGCAGGAGGTTCTTCTCCACGCACCCTAGCTCGATCAAGCGCATCCTTTTTCCGAGCTTCAGCTAGCTCCCAATCACACACCAGAAGGAGTGCCTGCATGAAGACGACATTAAACAATGAGCTTTCAACTTTAAACAAGAGAACTGCCATAATAGTCATACAAGATAAGTAAAATGGGAAAAGGTCATGGAAGTCAATAGTCAATTTGGGTTCCAACTCAAATGTTATTCTCAATTAGTTGTTGCCATAATTCAGATACGGTAGAAGTTATAAATTGAGTAGCCTGAGCAGAACTATAATGCAAAATAATAGAAGTTACCTCCCAATAATCTACATGAGTTGGTGTTTCCCTGTCAAGGTCCAGATGCATTTTGATGTCGTCACGTAGCTCATTCATTTCGTTTACAGTCAAGCCCTGTCCAATAATATTAAAGTTTCAAATTTGGATATCGTTAGTTACCATATAAGGTAGAACATGAGGAGCAATAAAATGAAAAAGAGAACAAATAATGAACCTTAAAGACCATATACGGTTCATTTATTTCTATATCCAAATCATCAGAGCCATTGAGATGCTTGGTTAGGACATCAATTGGTCTGGCACGCCCTTCACGCAATCTAATTTCTGACCTAACTTTACTTTGATCAAAATGGAACTGCAGATTAAATTGTCTAAGTCAGTAAAATTGACAATGTTATACAATATAGTGACAAATGAAAGGAACTAAAGACAGCACCTCTTCTTCTTTCTTTTCCCAGTCCTGAAACTCAGCTCTAGCACGTTCTCTAGCTAAGAGTGCCTAGGAGAAAGAATGTGTTAAATAAAGAAAATATAATATAGTTTGTACATCATTAACAGTCTAACAAATAAATCAAGCCTAGGCTTGACTCAAATATTATATATTTGGGCCCAAGTGAAAAGCCAGACATGTAACCTTGTGCCCCCACACCCAAAAACAAGGAAACGATATAATGGTATATCATATTAGACTATGATCACACAAAAATACAGTGGCGTGGTTGAAATTCAGGGAAATAAATGGAAAGTAGACAATAATTGAGTTAAGATACCACAGAGGCTGATCTAATACTTCTATATATAATTTTATATTAATATATAAAATGAAGTACCATAGAACTAGTAAAAGCCCAAAAAACTAATAATAGTTTAATATTTGTTGAATATAGAAGAAATAGAGTTTGGGATTAATCTCCCTTGTGTATAAATCACACATAGGGTAGTCTATTTATAGTAGAGAGATACAACTAAAAGAGTAACTGAAAGTAACAGAATAAACAGAAGATATTGTTTGATATTATGGTTAATATCTAACAATATCTTAACAATATTAAATAATATCTAAACAATATCTAACACTCCCCTCAAGTCTGGAGCATACAAATCGTATGTGTCAAGCTTGTTACAAATATAATCAATTCTAGGACCCCGTAAAGATTTAGTAAAAATATCTCGCTAACTGATCACTTGAGTTAACAAACTCAGTCTTGATGTCTCCAGACATAATCTTTTCTCGAATGAAATGACAAGTCAATCTCAATGTGTTTGATCCTCTCATGAAAGACAGGATTAGAACTAATATGAAGAGCGGACTGATTGTCACACACAAGTGATATTTGAGTGACATCTCCAAATTGTAACTCTCTAAGCAATTACTTGAGTCAAACAAGTTCACAAGCAATTGAGGCCATAGCTCTATATTCCGCTTCGCACTAGATCTTGCCACAACACTTTGTTTCTTACTTTTCCATGAGACCAAGTTACCGCCAATGGAGACACAATATCCAGATGTAGATCTTCTATCGAAGGAGATCCTGCCCAATCAAGCATCTCGAGTAGCAAACAACTCTTGTATGGTTATTAGAATCATATAACAATCCTTTTCCAGGAGATCTTTTAATATACTTTAAGATACGAATGATCGCATTCCAATGATCTTCACATGGGGAATTAAGAAATTGGCTTACCACACTGATCGCAAAGGAAATGTCGGGACGAGTAATCGTAAGATAATTCAATTTTCCAACCAATCTTCTATACCTGTTCAGGATCGGTAAAAGCTCCCCCGATTTGGTAAAAGTTTAGTATTGGGATCCATGGACGTATCAACGAGACTTTGAATTCATCAACCCAGTTTCCTCTAAAATATCCATGGCATACTTCCTCCGAGATATAACAATACCATCATTGGATTGTGCCACCTCAATACCCAAGAAATATCTAAGTTTGCCAAGATCTTTGGTCCGAAAATGGTGACAGAGATGTTGTTTCAACCGAGAGATGCCATGGTTGTCACTACCTGTAAGAACGATGTCATCAACATATACTATCAAGTAAACACATCCAAGCACTTGAGTGTCGATAAAAGATAGAGTGATCTCGCTTCACACCGAGTCATACCAAATTGTTGAACAACCTTGCTAAACTTTCCAAACCAGGCCCTAGGAGACTGTTTTAGGCCATATAGGGATTTGCGAAGACGACATACCATCCCAGAAGACTCCCCCTGAGCAACAAACCCAGGAGGTTGCTCCATATAGATTTCTTCTTGCAAATCACCATTGAGGAAAGCATTTTTAACATCTAGTTGATAAAGAGGCCATTGTTGAAGAGCGGCCATGGCGATAAATAAACGAACAGAAGTCATCTTTGCCACAGGGGAAAAGGTATCTCCATAATCCAAACCAAAAATTTGAGTATAACCTTTGTCCACAAGACGTGCTTTGAGGCGATCAATAGTACCATCAGGTCCAACTTTGATAGCAAACACCCACCTGCAACCAACAACAGATTTCCCAGACGGTAACGAGACCAAATCCCAAGTTCCACTATTATGAAGAGCACTTAGTTCATCTAACATGGCCTGACGCCAACCAGGATGGGCTAAAGCTTCACGGACGCTTTTGGAATGGTCACGGAAGAAAGAGAGGAAAGACATGTATAAAAAGGTAATGACAATCGATGATAACTCAAACCAATATAATGAGAGGGATTACGTGTAGAACGGATACCTTTTCGGAGGGCAATGGGAAGGTCGGACTCAGGTGTCACATTCGGAGGAGACGAGTAGTTGGCACTTGAGTAGAGTCACATGGTGGTGGTTGTGATTGGTTTCGGCAACTATAAACTCGAAGAGGTAGTGAAGAAGAAGTTGATCACGGAGTAGAATCTAATGGTGAAGAAGACACAATTAGAGGGTCACAAACAACAGGAACATTAAATGTACTAGGAGTGTTGACAATATTGGATGGAGACAGAGGTGAAGATTGACTTTTAAAATAAAAAGAGAACTCATCAAAGGTGACATCTCGCAGACACAAAATAACGGTTAAGAGAAGGAGAAAAACATTTGTATCCTTTTTGTGATCTTGTAAACCCTAAGAAAACACATTTATGTGATCTAGGAGAAAGCTTGTCAAGACTAGAACTAAAATTATGAACAAAACATGTAGACCCGAAAACTTTTAGAGGTAAGGGATGAAGTGGTTCATGAGGGAATAAAATGGAATGAGGTATTTTATTATCTAGAACCGAAGATGGCATGCGATTAACAAGATAACATGCGAGTAAGAAGAGCATCACCCCAAAAATGTTGAGGAACCTCTCCATGAATTAAAAGAGTGCGAGTTGTTTCAATAAGATGTCTATTTTTACGTTCAGCTTACACCATTTTGTTGAGGTGTATAAGCACAAGAAGTTTGATGCAAAATACCATGAGAAGCCATGAATTGTTTAAAAGAATGAGAAAGATATTCACGACCATTATCACTCGCGCAAAACTCTAATAGAAACACCGAACCGAGTTTGAATTTCATTGAAAAAAGTTTGAAAGATATGAAATAATTCGAACGATTTTTCATCAAAAATAACCAAGTACATCCGGAATAATCATCAATGAAAGTAACAAAGTATTGAAAACCTAAAGTAGACTTAACGCGGCTAGGTCCCCAAATGTCGAGTGAACCACGACAAAAGGGGACGAAGCACCACGTGTGACACTACGAGGAAAGGAAGTACGAATATGCTTGCCTAATTGACACGACTCACATGCCAAACTAGACAATTTAGATAAGGCAGGGACAAGTTGTTGTAACTTGGCAAGACTTGGATGACCTAACCGAGCATGGAGAAGAGAGGGAGACTCTATAACTGCACCAACATGTGTAAAGGGACGAAGATGATAAAGACCATGAGACTCACATCCCGTGCCAATCACCTGTTTCGAACTCCGGTCCTGTAAACACACGTAATTGTTGGTAAAAGAAACAACACAATCAAGAGAACGAGTTAGACGACCGATGGATAACAGAGTTAAAAGGAGACCCAGGGACATAAAGAACATTATCAATGGTTAAAGAAGGGAAAAGTTTAACAGTTCCAACACCATGAGATGATACTCTAGAGCCATCAGCCTAGTGTAACCAAAGGTAAAGGATCAGGAGAGGATAAAGAGGAGAACAAAGATTTGTTACCGATAATATGATCAGTGGCTCCTGAATCAAAAACCCAAGGACCAGAAGAAGATTGGGTCGACCAACAAAAGATGTACTGTGTGTGCGATGCAGACACAGTAGAACTAGAAGACTCGTTGATCCTTATACCATTTGAGAAATTTGTTGAACATAGCGAGTGTGTCTCGATGAAATAGAAGAAGGAGGATCCTTAGCGGATAAAGGTGGGAAAAAATCGATCCGAGCAACTGCAGTAGATCGAGTAGGACGACCATGTAATGCATAACACTTGTCAATCTTGTGACCTAGTTTGCCACAATGTTCACACTCATGTAATGCATAACACTCGGTCAATCTTGTGACCTAGCTTGCCACAATGTTCACACTTAGGACGTCCTTTTCCCCGTTTGCGAGGGCGAGTTCGATCATCACGGTGAGATACCAATGCAGTAAGAATCATTAACAAAAGCAGGTGTGTCAGGGTTGAGTTTTGCTGGTATACGCAAAAGAGTGGAGCAGGTCGATGTCAAGGTGGGGACAACCGGAGAACCCAAAATCTCGATCACGAATATGTGAATATTGATCAGCAAGTCCGTGTAATGCCCCTAACATGAAGAACTTTGATCGTTGTCCTATCTCGATGGCGGGTCTGGGGAAGGAGGCAATAACTCATTGAACTCATGAAAAAGAGCATGAATTTTGCCCATATAATCGAGTCATAGAATCTTGATGTTTAGAGGAAATAACATCTACAAATTTAGAACAGACATCATAGAGACGTTGAGTATCATTGGTGTATAATAACTTGGCATGTTCCCGCATTTTTGCACATGTTTCGTAGGAACGAAAAATTTGTTTTAACGAAGGATCAAGGGTACCCTTGAGAACCACGCATAATTGAGCATCAATGGTGTCCCAACGGTCTTCCTCACCAGGAGTGAGAGTAGGTGCTTTCGGGGCAAGATGATCAAGATACTTCGACTCTTAAGCCATAATCTGACGTCCGATGACCATGTGGCATAATTAGGGCCAGTTAACTTGTCAATGGATAAGTGCACATTAACATAGTTAGTGTAGATGGAAGGATCGAGATGCGATCGACGTGAATTGGAAGTACTAAAAGGAGCGGAAGAACTCATAAAGGGCGAAGGCGATAGTGACAATGGCGTGAACCAAGTACACCGGTAAGTTCCCGTGAAAGAGAGGTGGGTCACTAATGGACACGCTTAAATACCAAGTCTTTCCTTGTCGAACTTTCCTAGACATGCACTTTCACACTACCAAATAACCGACAACGATAGCGGCGGTGGTGGCGACTTCAATAGTGGTCTAAGGCGGAAAAAAATTCAAAATAACCTTAAGCTCTAGATACCATGTTGAATATAGAAGAAATAGAGTTTGGGATTAATCTCCCTTGTGTATAAATCACACATAGGGTAGTCTATTTATAGTAGAGAGATACAACTAAAAGAGTAACTGAAAGTAACAGAATAAACAGAAGATATTGTTTGATATTATGGTTAATATCTAACAATATCTTAACAATATTAAATAATATCTAAACAATATCTAACAATATTAAACAATACTAATAACAAATTATGAGGAAGGACATACCATTTCTTCCTCATGTCGTGCTTTCTCAAGTGCCCTTTCCTCTCTTCTCTTCTTCACTTTTTCAATTTCTGCCTGCAATATGGTTATTATAAGAAGTAATAAAGTTTAGTTGTTAGGCCATCAATGATAAATGAAAAAGACCCAAAAATTTGGGAAAACAGAGAACAAAGACACAAAACCTAGCCTCCAACACAATTTAATCCAAATTCCCAGCTACAGATTTAATACAAAGTTTTAAGTTGCAGTTGCAATCGTGGTTCTGTTGCAATCATGGTTTTGTCACATTACTTTATTTTGTAGAAAATTGAGAACAACTACACTTGCAAAATCAATTGCAGTTTCAGAGACCAGGGTTATAAATAGTGTACTATAGGTGGTGCAGGGTAACCCTGCCTGCAACAGAAGTTGCTCTAGTGGAGCAGTTTAGTGTAGCGCTTGTAAAAGCACAAATAACAAGCAGAATAGCTACTGTAGTGGCACTAAGTGTTGATTCTAAGAAATCCCTTCGAACAGAAACATTGGGGTTTTCTTGGGGGACCAGTCTTGTGATTTCAAATCCAAAAAAAAAATCTACAGCTGTAGTGGCAATGAAAATAATAAAGAAGGCTTGGATTTAGAAGATGACGATTGATGATTCCTGTCTAGGAAACTCGTATTTGTCCTTTGTTGGACTTTACTTGTATGCTTTAAGACACCAATGACTTTTTATTATTAAGTAAGAATTATGAATGTCATTAATTTTGAGTAATTTTATCATTTTTGGGACCAGCTTCTAGACATCGCTATCTGAGATTGAAAACAGTGGTAGAGAGTCCAGGAGCCTTGACATTGCAGCTAAATCACGGTCATAGACCGTTTTATAACATACTTCGACATAACTCAAGCAAACCAGATTCACATTCATCCCAAATGGAGGGAACTAAATTGAAGGCGGGAAAGTGTCTATAAGATCATTTGCGCATATGGTCCTGGAACCAAATTGTTACCAAGATAACGTTATACAACTATCGCTTTAAAGCTTTTAACTTCTCAAGTGTATGGGGATTGTTGCAGAGGATGGGGAAACAAATAATGACCATACAACATATATCCCGTATCATACTATGCTTAAAATAAAATGGGAAAATTGTGTTTTAGGTCCCTCAACTATAAACTATGCAATGACCAAAGTTTATCGATTATAAAGTATATATGAACTACAATTAATCCTAACTGAAAATTGAGGACTAAATCGCATTTTACCCAAATAAAAAATTCATGGATAGAAATGCGTACCATCCTTTCTCTCTGTCTCTTTTTCTCGGCCTTAACTGAAAACGTTTCAATAGACACACCTTGAGAAACATCGCGTTCAATCTTCTTGCGCCAAACAAATCTACAAATAAGATTTGTGTAGGTTTACAATCTGTAAGAGCGACGACTACTTATCCGCAAGATTTAGGTATTGTGACGCTAAATAAGTTTAATTTAACCACGAGATACGAAAATAACGAGAAATAGGCAGGAACTTACTTCTCGTTGAGATTGGAGTCACCAAACGGATTCGAATCGTTGGAATAGCCCGACACCGTACTGGTTTTCAACTTTTTCGCGACTTTCATAGCCTGAAACAATGGAAAATCATTCAATACGGGAATTCAAACGGTGAAGAAACGTGATAGGTACGGGAAAACCAGATGAAGACCTTTGTTTGGGCCTTTTTGGCCATGTACTGCGTGATTTCCTCTTCTGTGATGTTCCTTGAGGACTTCTTCTTCCTGTCGCCGTCGGAGTCATGCCGAGACCGGCGGCTACTACTACGGTGGCGTCTGTCCGAGTCGGAGTCGGAAGTTGACTCGGATTGGGACTCATCCGATCTTCTTCGTCTTCGGTCTCTTCCGCTACTCCTCCCCATTCTCTAAAGAGAATTGAAAGAGGGAAACTGTGTTTGTGTTTTGGTGAACCAAAAATAAATGAATTGAAATGGCTATGTCGGCGCTGTTCATTCGAACCTTAAATTTCATCCAAATGGTATTTTTACAGCTCCAAAAATAAACCACTTTAAAAATAACCCTCTTTTATTAATATAATAATTAAAAACGATTTAATAAAATGAAAATATATTAAAATTATTTTTATCTAAAAGTATCGGCACAATTTTTTATTAAATTGATCAATTATCATAACTTACTATATTATTTTTACCTTATTATTAATTATTTAATTAATTAAAGATATTATTTAGTTGTTATTAATTATATTTTATCTTTGGTTATTATCTTTTGGATAATTTGATTGTTATATTTTTGTTTATTATTATCTTCTAAATCTTTAACAAACGAACTTAATTAATAAGAAAATTTTATTTTATTATTTATTTTTAAATATATTATTCTCTTATTTAAAAATTTACTTATGGAATATTTTTTGTACTCTTTTTATCAAATTTCTCAATCCCTGGATCAAAATTAACAACGACCAAATAAGTATAGCAATAGAGCGAGTAAGAAAGTTGAATAATTTATAAGTGAAAAATACTCATAATTTAATTTTTTAATGTTTTGGGTTAAAAATAGTGTCATAATATTTTTTAAAATTAAAGATGATGTCATATTCTTTTGTATGATTAGATTTTAGGTTTTTCTGTCTCAGACTCATCCTCGTTCCATATTATTTATACAAAATAATTATATATATAATAAATTAATTTTAACAATTTTAAACTATTTTTATATAAAAATAAATTTTTATAATTTTTAATTATTATTATTAATTAAGTATATATTTTAATTTATTATTTTTATATTAAAATATGTATATAAAATAAATATTTTTTATTTATATGGATATAAAATATTTATAATATTTATTTAAATATTTAATTAGTTAATTATTTTTTAAGTTTTCATTTTAAAATATTTATAAATATGAAATATATAATTTATAAAAAAATATTTAATAATTTAATTCTTATTTAATTAAATTAAAGTGATACAAGTTTTAATTATTAAATCTTTTTAATTTTTCAAAATATAATTATTTTATTATCAAAATTTGATATAATAAGAATAATAAACTTTAAAAAATATAACATAATAAAATTCAATAAAGATAAATTAAAAATAAAATAATATTAGTAACTATTAATATTGATATAAAATATTTATAAAAAGATAAAAAAAATTTATGTTTATCAAATTCATTGAAAGATTAAAAAAATAAAGTTGATTAAAGAAATTAACAAAATGTGAAAAAAAAGTAAAAAATAATAATATAATAAATTAATTGATAAAAAATTTGGGAAAGATAAAAAAAATGAAAAATGTATATAATTATGATAAAAATAGTGAAATATAAAAAATATATTATATATAACATGAGAAAGAAAATAAAAAATTCTAAAATATTAAAATTTTATGGTTTTTATTTAAATAAATTAACAGAGTGAAAATTACATTACTTGTTCTCATCCAACCCCAATATTAAAGTGAAAAAGAAATTAAATTTATAATTCATTTTTTTTTCTGTTAAACACGAAAGGAAAATAGATCATCGCATATATGAATTTAATTCGCATCATGTGGTTGGTTAATTATATGGTTTTATTCTTTGACTTATAGTACTGGTTTAGCATAAAATACCAGGTTTGTATTTGGAATATTTCTCTTAATATTTTTATTTTTATTTTTGCAAAGTTGGATGTTTATTTATAAATTATTTTGTGAATGAACTGATTTCGTCATTCACGTACTTAAAGAAGTATTTTTAAATTTTAGATTAATTGCGATTAAAGTTTCTATATTAAGCGAGTGAATACCTTTGTTGGAAGAAGATGAAATTAATGATTCCGTGATTTTTATATTTCTAACTCTTTTAAAGTTAATAAAATTTGTTCTCAGGCTTGCTATTTATACATTGCGTTAAGTCTTAGTTGTAAGAGGAGTCAAATTTTCCCTTGGACTGGCAAAAATCGATTGATGATACTTGTGAATAGTCTATAAACTGATCTTATAAGAAAGTCGGATTAACATATTAGTAAAGTGTATAACAATACAAGAATAAAAATATTTTTGATATAGATCATTTAATAAACAAATGTCATTTGAACTATCCAAGGATCGAGGTCTGGCCCTTCTTTAAGCATGATATATTCACTTCTCTTTCTTTTTTTTCTTTTTTTTTTGTCACATTTAAAGTTGACTCACATTCACACGTTAGATGACCAGCAATGACATAACTACATACTGAAGATACAGATAGGCAAACACAACATCATTATATGATAACATCTTTCAGACAACACCCACTACGACACATGTTACAATACCACGATGTTGAGCCACTCACAGAAATTCATTACCTATTAAACCTAGAAAATGACAACAAAGACGTGGATGGTTTATGACTCGTTTACACATGAGGCAGATGGAGAAAAAGCACATCCCCGTAAATCTACCAAATGCAGTTAAGAACACTGATATTATAATTTCTGATTAAAATATAATATACAAATCATACTAACACTGCAAATTTTAAGATTTTAGTTTATTGGTGATGAGAAATTTTAATGAACTCCCTAAACTAACTTACCGAATTGAGTTGATCTTGGTCTATTTCTCATTATTACAAGAGAAATGATTAACTATATACATGACTTCAGCAAACATTAGATTAACGATTTATACTCTGCAACAACTTTCCATTGAAGTTTACAATCAGAAGAATGTTCTAATCCAAGGGCCAAGAATTGAAGGCTAAATAATCAAAACTACAAAAGTACATTGATGTTTTTGCATATTATAGTTGACTAAAAATTGTTTCCACGTGTTGAATATTCCCCTACATGTGCGTAAAGCATATATGAATAGGAAACGAAAAATATTAACCAAGATTCATTGAAGTTAATCCATGTAATCGAAATCCAAAACAAATTTGTCTCTGATTCTTAACGTCACTACTAAATCTTGTCAAACCTAAGGCAAGAAATCATAAAGTTCTTTTTCATAACAAGATATACTGTAGAAGAAATACTCTAAGGTAATCATTTATGTCAAAATTCATATCTCCAATTTCTGAGTTCTTGGAGGCCCTCCGTGATCTATGCTCAAACTAAAATATCAGTTTAAAGTCTTCAGTTCACTGCAACTTCAGCTGAAAGGTAATTTGAATGAAGTACGTCCTGGCCAGAAACTTTGGTCTTCGAGTTCTTAAGCACTTGCACAGCTTCTTCCACCTTTGCAGAAAGAGACTCTGGCGATTCCAGGAGAACCAGCAATTCTCCATTGTCCATCTCCAAAAGCATCCCTGTTATTTTTGCCGCTAAGCTAGGCTGCTCAAGATATCACGTCAAATATATTAAGAATTCAAAAACCTAACCTTCAATAACAAAAAGCAAAAGAGAATAGTAGATTGTTATGCCTTTAGTTTCTGAACAAGCATGTAAAGATGCTCTCCGAGTATATCTTTCTGCTGCTCCGGATCAGCACCAGCAAGCAAGCTATGCAGCATTTCTGGCCCATGGGACCCTCTACCAGAATTTGAATCAGCGGATGAGGAACCAGATGCTTTTTCTATGTCACGCTGGCGTCCACTGGGTATGTACTTAGGCTGTCCGGTTCTCTTCAAAAGAACAGAAATTTCAGAAATCAGAACTTTCATCTCATGTAAAGAAAGCGGTTAATTAAAAACACAAATTTTGAAATCTAACTATTGTTAATTGTTTTATATTGAAAACTAAACAGAAAACAATTACTAGTCCTGATTTCTAGTTCAGATTCTAAAACAAAATAGTTAAGTTTCTGAATGCATAGAGCAATTTAAAGGTGCGGTTGGATAAAACAAGTGGCATTAGCACCACTGTATTTGTTAGAGAATGTTCACTGAAATGGCATTTATTACAACAAAGTAAACAGAAAAGGGGGGTCAAAACAAACAAAAACGGAAAAGAAAAGGCAAACCTGCTGAGTACTTGACTCTCTAGAAGAGATCATTGACTGAGAAGTCTGCTGGGCTTGTTGGACATGAGTACCAGAGTTGGTATTTCCCTGTGCTGCTGAATGCCCATTCAACCTGCCCCTGTTTTGCCTATGCTGCCTAGTATTGTTAGAAACCTGTGAAAGAAAGACATCATATATTCGGCTCATTACATCTTTCACTGAAACAGGACTAGTTTCCAAGTAAAAACAAAGTTTTTACTCACTGCAGGAACTGATGACTGTTGAAATGATCTAGCAGGGGGTAGAAAGCCATTAGCCCCCCATCCCGGGCTCAATGCAACATGTTGATACATCACCCCAGCTCGAGGAGGCACGTGTGAAATAACACCAGTAGCTGCATAGTAATAAGGAGGATATCCACCAGGGATAATGGCAGTCGAAGGTCCAGCTAGTCCTGCTATTTGATGCGTGTACTGAAGCTGCAATTGTGCTTTCCTATCTTCTTTCCTCTGAGCAAGAGCAACATATAGTGGTTTACCATGAAACATGAATCCTGTGGCACATAACATCAGCTTAAACATAATTAAGGCAGTGCAGACAAATGGCATTAAATGTGAGTCTAGTTGGACAAATTTCTCCAAAAGGATTTTTAGGAGAGAAACATAAGAAAAAAAATTGAAATGAGCTTCTCTACAAGTTAAAATTAGCTTATACATAAACTAATTCGTAGAAGATTTCTTATATATATAGCTTGTTTAAATTTTTAATTTTTAACTTGTGTATAAGTTCATTTTAATTTATGAAAAAACTAATCCTATTTTTTTTTTTTTTCTATTTTAGAATTCCTTATGCAGAAATTTGTCCAAACAGGTCTGCAATGCTATTTACATAATATTTTCACCAAAACCTGTAAAGAGGCAGAAATGCAAACCTTTAGAACAGAACTTCAGTTCCAAACCAATATACAAATAGTGATAGATGCAAAATATATTTTCAGATTTATGGATATCCTTTATTTGTGTTAACAAGTAGAATTGGTTGCCACATATCACAAGCATGGAAAAGACTTCTCTAAAATGAGCTTGTATAAGAAAATGCACGAGTAATGGGGTATTTTCTAGGAAAAATATTGATATACACTCCTTTTTTACCAAACATTCAACTACCAACTTGATTTATTAATAAAATAATAATTTTTAATCAATTAAATATATTAATAAAAAAATTGTCTAATGATATATTTTTTAATGCAGGTTTCAAAATATCATAACTCTTATAATATTAAGAGAGGTTTGACGGGTACACTCTACTCTATCAATAACTAAAAAATTAGTATAATATTATTATATTAGTTATTGATAAGATGTGCCGATAATATTACTCCTAATAATATAATAATACATAATAATAATAATATTATTATTATTATTATTATATTAATATATTCGGTTGTAGAATAATGTTTGGGTTCTGAAAATAATATTTCTGTTTTTTTTTTCTTTCTTTTTCTTCCAATCACAGGTCACTATTTATAAAATTTATATTTTCTTCTCTCTCAAAATGTCATGTGGGTGCTTTTTACTTTAATTGGTGTTCATGAATCATTTTTGCTTATCTAAATAATGAAGAAGACCCAAGCTATATCGATTTAACTTACTTACCATGAAAAGTGTTCACGGCTATATTGGCCTCCTCAGCAGTGGAGAAGCAGACAAAGCCAAACCCTTTACTTATCCCTTTGTCATCTTGCATAACTTTTGCAGAAGTTATAGTTCCACATGCACTAAAATGATCCCTCAGTTCTTCGTCACTTACATTGTCATCAATGTTTTTCACATAAACGTTTGATCCCTGAAGTTAAATGATCTAAGACAACTGAAACAAAAATGACAAGTTAAATATGAGAGAATGGGATAGAAATCACCTTGTATTTCAAGATTTGTTCCTGCCGTTTCTCCTCAAATTGGTGGTGTAAGATCTGCTCGCGCTCAGCCTTCTTTTGTGCTCTGGCTACATAAAGAATCTTAGAACCTGTTTATGAAAAATCAAACTATTTAATATACAGAATTATTCAAGAAAATTTAAACATTTCCCTAAAGAAAACCCTATGCAGTAAAAGGCTACATGAACTACCTAATTGTGATCCATTCATTTCTTCCATTGCCCTTTTAGCATCATCTGGGTTATCATAGTTCACAAAGCCAAAACCCTTGGACATCCCATTGAGGTCTTTTGCAATAGCCAAGCTAATAATTTTACCAAAAGAGGAAAATTTCTCCTTCAGTTTTGCTTCTGTAATATCCAAGTCCAAATTCTTCATGTACAAGTTTGTATATCTAGCATCCGCGCCTGGCAAGATGCGCTCACTTTTTTTGACAAACTTCCCGACATATCTGGTCAAGCGTCATAACCAGATTATAATTAATATCAGAAAACAATAGGCGTACAGAAATTAAATACAAAATTCAAACATTAATTGTTGATACAATGCAGAATTTCACATACAACTGCTTATCACGAACAGTAAAGCCATTCAGCTTCTCGGTAGCAACACGTGAAGATTCCTCAGATTCAAATTGAACAAAGCCGTATCCTTTGCTCTTCCCATCTTCAGACGTGACAACTTTGCTGGACAAAATATTCCCATATTTTTTGAATATATCTTGCAGTCCAGCATTATCTATCGATTCAGGTATGTTCTGCCAACAAACAAGAAACTCTCAGTAAGAATTCTTTCATAAACAACCAAGAAGCCAAACAATGTCTTAACTATTTCTTTTCAGAACAAAGTTCTGTTCAACAGATACCTTAACAAACAAGTTCCCTATAGTGCTCTTCCTCGCATCAGGATCGCGACGCGACCACATCACCCTTATCATTTTTCCATTCAGCAACGTATGATTCATAATCTCGATTGCACGATTTGCTATAACAAACACCATTTCATTAACACGATAAACACACTCAGAGATCTCGATCAACACACCTCCGTCGCTCTCTTTCATTCAAAAAACGTTTATATAAAAAGAAATTAATTAATTAAGAAACAAACGAAAATCAAGATTTCATGAAAAGAAAACGAAGCACAATTGCGTAAAACCTAACGGAAGAGAGGTGAATGGAGGCGAAACGCACCGTCGTCAGGAGAAACGAAGTTGACATAGCCGTAACAGAGGGATTTGCCGGTGGTGGAGTCTTTGCAGACGCGAACAGAGGTGAGGCTCTTGAACTCGGAGAATGCGTCGACGAGGTGGCTATCGGTGACGTCGGGATGGAGGTCGCCGACGTAGAGAGACGCCGGAGCGGCGGCGACCGACGGAGGAACCGCCATGGATGAATCAGACGAACGAAGGAGTTAGGAAGAAGGGAAGAGATAGCGCGATGGCAGGGGATTATTATGGTGTTCTCTGGAACGGAACGTAAGAAAGGTTGGTGTGAGGTGAGTGAGAGAAGAAGGAAGAGGGAAAGTGTGATACGATTTGATATTGGCCAAGGACAGAGAGAGGGTGGTGTGTGTGAGAGTGAGTGAGTGTAGGAGGATTCGGCATGCATGGCCATTCGATACTATGAACCATCTCCAACCCACGCGCCTTGCAGGAGCGCGTCTCACACATTCCTCTCTCACTTTCTTCTTCACTTGCGGGGAAATTCGCGCCTCATCAACAAATCGTCAATGCCTTACCCATTGCTGGTTGGCTACCAATTCGGATCATCAGAATCACATCACCAACTCATAACTTCGGATAACTTGCAGGAGCGCATAAATCTATTTACTCCAAACTTTGCTTAAGTCCATTATTTTATTATTTGTAGAAAATGTGATAGGGTATTCAACTGTTACCATTATTGTGTGCCTACTAGATTAATAATGTTTTTAATAATACGGTTTAGTAGAAGAAGAAAACAGGAATGACATTTTGATAGAGCATTTTGGTAATGATAATTAATGGTGTCCATTTAAGGAAGTTTGGTTATTAATTGTATGCATATAATTTAGGAATGGGGGTATATTTTTAGGTGAAGGAGGAAAGAGAGATACAGGAAAGTTGGTGGAAAAGTGTTAGCAGAGAGAAGAAGGGCGCGTGGGGTAGAAGAAAAGGGAAAATGAGAGAAAGAGATGGATTGGATATACGAGCCTTGAGGAATGAGGAGGACGGTTTCAATTCAAACATGCAAGCAACCCAAAACAATTAAATTAAATTCATTTCCTTTTGTGTCCCCTCTCCTATAAATACACTTACACACACCTAATCATTTTGTGTTTTGGTTGTTTTCCTAGTCCTTTTTCTTTATCCCTTGATTAGTACAAAAAAAGTTACTCAAATCAAATGACATGTTTTAAAAAACTGTTTTAAGTTTTTAGAAAATATGTGTAAAAGACTAATACATACACTACTACTGTTTATAATTAATATCCATGCTCAGTTTAAAGTTAAGTGCTTTCATAAATTATAATAAAAAATATTGTGTTCCAATACATGGGTCAATGGATTAAGAGGAAAAGTATTGTTTTATGTATCTGCTTAAATTATCCTTGGCTAAGACAGACCTAACAAGCAGAGGAAGTTGAGGCAAGGCAAGTCCCCTACTTCCATTCTCTTACCTACACTTTTTTCCTTTTCTTCATACACTATCGTAGCCACACAACTTTTTAACAAAATCAAAATTAATAAGCACGTTAAATTAGCATGTTTATGTATTGAATTTTCCAAACCTATTACCTAATTTAATATAAAAAAAACTAGTCAGATTTTTACATTTATTTTATTGCATTTATTAATTGAGTTAAGAAAATATTTTTTAATTTGTAATTTGATTTTTTTTAGTTTTTAGAATATTTTTTTAAAAATATTTTATTAAATAATTTAATATTAAAAAATTACACTATTAATTGTTAGAATTATTAAATAAATAAATAATTATATTATTATTTAATAGATTTAGTTACATTAAATTGAGTTAATTAAGTCTTATTTTACAAAAATCATTACCCAGCAATTATATATATCACATAGAGTAAAATTTTGTCTAAGTAAACAAAATCAATATAATTTATTTGAATTTGATTAGATTATCAAATTATCGAACCTAATATTAAATAAAATAATATATTTAGAGTTTACAAATAAATAAATATATATATATATATATATATATACATATATTGAGATGTAAAACATTTTAAAATTTATTAGAAAAACATAGTACAAAGTTAATATAAGAATAACCTAAAATATATATACTAAATTAAAAATATAATTTGATTATATAATTTTTACATATAATAAAATTATCGGTTTATTAATGTTATCATACTCTCATTTTATAGTTTAAATTTAAATAAAATATTCAGCATGAGACTAACGTCATTTATGTGTTTTTAGGCATTCATTCTCCTTTCCTTATCAACGTAAAGTTTTTTTATCTTCTCCATCATTTTCCGTCAATCTCTATGCAGAGGTAATGGGTAATGAAACTAAACACAAACACAAACAAAAAAATTATGTAGATCATTTTCCGTCATTTATATATACATCATTTTAGATAATACCAAGCACAAAAATTATTTAGATATTGAAACTAAACGAATATATTTGTAGTTACATGGGTAATGAAAAGCAAAAAAGTTAAGGAATCTCCTTAGGCAACACTGACACTGAGGAATACAATAACAAACTTCATATTCAAAGAAGTATCGCTCGGCTTACTTTACATTTGTTTGACAGCTTTGTTGTTGCACAGTGCACACATCCATCCATTGGTTACAATATATGAACACAATTCCAAGAATATAGCACTCCTATATTCTTTGCTGAAAATCACAAGTAAACTGTTTTATGCGGTCAAAGCCGTTTATAAATAGTACAATTTCCAAATACTCCAGGGAGATAAACTAATCTACAGATATGCCAGTTCCCAACAAGAGAGACCCTTTACAATGAGGTCCTCATTTTCAGCATGCCAAGGATACCAATGAGATTAAATACAGCGCAGAAAACAGCAACCACCTCCCGTTTTAACGCAAGGGTGTGCTGATAATAAATAAAACATCAGCCAACTTAATGTAAGCTTCAAATGATTATCTTTGACTCCTGGTTGCGGTTTACAAAAATTGGAACTCCATGAAAACTATGTGCACAAGGAAGGTAGCAATGCCTACTGCTAGAAACTTGGAGAAAGTGCCTATGTGGGAACAGCCCACACTCATGTGTCCTGAATTGTTGATGTAGGCATCCTTGCTCTTGCTCGTAGCCAGAGAGACGTTTACAGCCAAGGAACCTGAGCACCAACTCATGATTATGACAAAATAAAAATACTATATATGCAGAAAGATTCAGTTCCTTTAGTGAACTTACAATCATAGTTAGTCCATCCAATTCGTTGATTAGCTAAGTCATATACAAATATCTTATCTTTTAGGACAAGATCTGCAAAAAGAACAAAAAATACTTCGTTGATCCACTTGCTGACCAAATAAATTTATGCATAATTGACACAAAATAACTATGAAATTCCAAAAGTAAGTCTTCGATAAAAATTTGAATTAGAACATGACATCAACAGAATCTAACTTTTTTATCATATTTTCAAATCCCAATTGAATGTCAACTGAAAATAAATAAGGTTTTTTTGTGAAACACCTTACCAGGTGTTTTCAGTTTTGCTAATCTCATATTCAGTCTACCAAAACGAAATCTCAGAGAAATAACAAGGTACTGTTTACTACCATCGAAGACAAGACATTTATGACCGAAGATTTTCTATGCTTTTTACTAAAGAACCCATTTCATAATCAATTTTCCAAAAGTGAGTTTTTCTTCAAACCCTTTGCAGATTTTATTCTGTCTGAATAATTTTTCCAGCTTCTAACCTCCTAAGATTGTGAATCCCTGCTCTACTTTTTGGAAGCCAACGCACCACATTGCAGCACCATCCTGTGAAATCAAGGTAGCGAAAATCAGACAATTATCAGTGATATGCATTTCAAAAAATTTACTCCGACTTAGGCAATAGAGAAGAGGTAATAACGTGACCAAACTAAAAATAGACATACTTACAAGGAAACCATAATGCATGAGGTAATGTTCTGGATCTAAAACCATAGATGCTCCGCCCATGAAATTTAAACTGACTTGAGGAAATATATCACCTACACTGAATAAGCAGAAGTTGAAATGAGATCCTCAGGCACCGTAATAGAACAAACATTGTTTAATGATGAAAGAATTTAAAGATCTTTGTTAAAAAATTGACTTAAAATATAAATAACCTGTTCGATACCAGATAACACTGGTTTCCTTTTGAAATAATGGGTTTCGAGAACTTTGACACAGCAGCAGTTATCTACGCATTCGTTCAGATATTCAATATCAGTACATGATATATGATTTCTTAAAAATTATAGAAACAAGATAAATATGCCAATGAATTTGTTTGCCTCTCTTCAATGCGTTTTCGGGGTAAAAAATTGCTACAAGAAATTTCATTCCTTGGTGTACAATGCATATTGAAAAATCTGCATATAGGGGGGCATTAAAATTTACAGATCTTATTCTATCTAATAACACAACTACAGTAACAGTAGTGTTTGCATTTAATCACTTGCCCGTGTATCTGGAATCATGATTTGGTGTTATTGTTAGGACATCTTAAGTGGATCTAAATTTTGTTAAAAAATTAATACAACATGTTAAGGTTCCAACATAAAACCAATTGACAATATGTGGAGTAGTCTAACATGTATTTAAATCATACCAAATGACATGAGGTAGACAATGTGGGACTTTCAACACGCCCCCCTCCAACGAAGCCTGCCGGACCAGGCAAAGGGTACTTTTGACCCAAGACAATAACCGGAAAGATGTTAGGCTTTGGCTCTGATACCATGTTAAGGTTCCAACATAAAACCAATTGGTAATATGTGGAGTAGCCTAACATGTATTTAAACCATACCAAATGACATGAGGTAGGCAATGTGGGACTTTCAACACAACAAAAACCAATATTAATAAAAATATCAGGCAAGTTTTACTGTTTGAGAAAATGCATTTCAAATGGAATTGAGACGAAAATGGGATCGGTAACCCAAAACTCTTGCTATGAAAGCCTAAGGTTCTAGTCAAATCCACAGTCAACTTGGTCAAAGCCAATAATCGACAACCAATGCAAATGTGCCGGATCAGTAGATGACATGGCAATCACATATAATTTGGGGTGGCAGTATGCTGATGTGGCATAGGCAACATATTATGTGGATAGTCATCAACTCATGTTTTGGCAAAACAACAGGGTTTTGCAGATGCTAAAAAAGCTCTGGTACTATGAAGTTGGCAATTAGTCAATCTGATTTTTTTCCAAAGAGAATGGGAGAACAGATAAATGGCATGTAAATAGCCTCACGGACTTCTCATATCGATCTTAAACCATTCTTGGAGATTGATCATTCAGTTAACTAGACCCAATTGAAAATGGAGGACAACCTCAAATGAATAACCTAATCTTCTGGTTTAGACAGAAGGACCTTCCTGATACATTACCATTTGTTATATTAAGAATGTAGAGGGCCAGGCCAGATTTTATGTACTTAGAAATAAATACATTTGGAGAATAAAACCACAGAATTTAGCCACAGGAGACTGTAGTGCCACAAATTTCAAGCAAAAGCAAACTTACAGCATCGACAAAAGGATTGTATGCTTCTTGAACAAGGTATGCCAATGTTGTGCCAGAGTCAACTATAGTTCCGCCATTATTAGTTGTCGCAAATACTTCTGAATCTATTGGGAGAAGTTGTCCATTGACAGCAATGCTCTGAAGATTTAAATTGTAATGAGGCCTGAAATTTGACCGAAGAAATAGCCAAATAAAAAGCAAAACATATTATACAGCAATATACTGATATATAGAATTTTTTTATTTTTTTTCATTGGGAATATATTTAGTATCCCAAATCTAACAACCAAGAACTAATCTGTATTCGCGAGAAGTGACAGCATTATTTAAACACTGGGAATCAAACCTGAGACCACCACAGGACAGGCTTTAGAACATGAGAGGTTGACCTGATGGTCCCACGATAGAACTATTGGTTATTTGACTACTTAGTAAGAAATGTTACTTACTATATTCAATTCAAAAACTTATTTCATTAAATTAAAAAACGTTTGTTGTGTACAATCATTTATAGTCATTTTAATTACAGTTTTACCACTTCCAGGTTGATTCATGCTCATTCACACAAGGTTATGGCATGTAACTGCGGCCTTCATGAAAACAAACAGTCTTGGTAAGGAGAGGGCTGAGCCATTCACAACAATATCACATTGAGAAACCAAGAAAGTTTAATCCTTCTCCGCTAAAGGTATGAACTCAAATAAACAAACTTCTACCGGTAAATTACCATTCAGAAAATTGCAATCAAGGATAATAGTTGACAATTCTATGAGCATTTCTCACAGATTGACATATTGCGACAAACAAAATCAGAAACTTCGTATAAGCTAGGGGTACCAAACATCAATTTTTTTGGCTAATTTTTTAAGATGTCAACAAGCAGTGCTGATTTTATGTTTTGTTGTAAACAACTTGTAATGTAACTGGCAAATTGTGATGCTAAATCCAGAGTGATTATCTCAGAATTGTCTAACCAGTATCTCTAACAGTAATTCAATACCTAGTTTCATAATTTTCTTGTGAAAAAAGAATAGAACTTGTACTTTCACTTCATATCAATGTGATATAGTATTAAGGAAAAATATGTCTTATGTCCACCGACACGGTAAACATGGAAAAAGAATGCAGAAGAGAAAACATACTGTGATGGGACAAGTGGGCTATAAACAATGGTTGGCTCCAAAATTTCACCTAGAACTAGAACACCTCCTCCATTGTCTTGTCCTTTTAGGCAATGAGAGAACACTTTGGGTGTCACACCCCGTGATGACAGTTGTGATATAACAGATAGAGCACCAGGGCCAAACCCAAAAATTCCATCAACTGCTTTATCTGTCTTGGTCAAATCCCCAGACTGGTAGGTGCTACACCTGTTTCCAAACAATCATTCCAAAAAGTTCATTTAAACCCCATATCCATCTTAACATACACAAGGGAGTAGGTGCAGACTATCACAGCAGAAAGAGTAGGTAAAATAGTGAACAACCTCAAAATAAACAGCCCCCATATTGTGTTACCTTTTCTCTCCCTCTTAAACAAATTACCTTTCGGCGATATTTTTATGAAATTGGTGCTCAATATTATATTATTACAGTGTTTGCTACTAAGCTCAGAACGTAATCTTCACCCAAGAGAACTATGCTACTCTGACCCCTGTGATCCGGCTCTAATCTTTATATGGTCCAAACCTCACATTAAATAACTATCCACAAAAGCATAAGGACTCACCCAAAAACGATGTTAGATGACGTGTTAGAAACCAATGACTGTCCCAGGACTGTGTCAAAATACATCGTATCAGAAACATAATAACCAGTTGTCCCACTTCTATCTCCATACTGAAAAGTGTAGATGCACTGATTAGCCTGAGAAGAGCATTCGCTTGTCGCAGTTTGAACCGCATAAGAACAGATTGGATCACGGCAGGAAACAAGTGCAGCAGTGGATGAACCGGCCGTGTCAAAGAAATCCAGCTCAATCTGTAGAATGCATACAAAAAACCAACAAGAGGATCAAATCATTACACTCTCATCCACAAAAATAAATGTTAAATAAATTAAATGACAACAACTAAAAGCATCAAATTCTCACCCCTAACCCACTAGATTGCGGGCAATTACTGCAAGTCATGCAATTCAGCCACAATATGTCACTTCCAGTATCAATCTGAACATAAAACTCTTTCGCAGGAGATCCCAGCTTCACTTTCGTGAAATACAACCTGAACAAGGAAACCAAACTTAACTCCAAGCTTCAAGAGTACATGCTATATGCTATTTCTAACTTCTTAGCCGTTAATATCATTGTCCGTAATGTATATGGTTAAGGCTATTCCTGTTTCTTTCTTCTTCTTGCAAATAGGGAAAAAAGAAAATGCATAAGGAAAATGGAATAGTAAGAAGAAAAAAAAAATAAACGAGGAAATTTGAAACGAAGCGAAAAAAGAATTACCCGTACCCAACGAAGTAAGGGTCGGAGGTTCCTTGGACGGCGAAGTCGACAACGCCACCAAAGACACCTTGCAAGATTCGACCGTGGCGTGCTCTGTCGCGAGCTCTCAGTGCCTCCAACTCCACTCTTTGGTTCAGAGGAATGGCCCGTTCTAGAGGAAGAAAAGCCCCCGTCAAAGCGCCGTGCAACACCGTCGTCGCCAACGCGACGGTGGCTAACGCGAGCGACAGGGGAACAACGGCCCGCATTTTGGTGTGGCTTCTTCTTCTTCTTCAATGGCGACGACGACGACGCAGTTACTGCATTGAGTCTTTTACAGAGAGAAACAATAGAGTGAGATAGAGTAAGAGACCAGATCTCTTGTCACTGACTTGTTAAGTCTTAACTCAAATATTATAATATAATAAACTAGATAAAATTAATAGTTTTTTTTTATTAAAAACGTTAATATCCTAATTTCTAATGTATTATTTATGGATGTAAAATTTCATAAATTTTTAATTACAATTCATTTTTCACAGGTAATTAATATTCTTATAACACTGAAAATTGGTAACACGCACTTTTAACTATTTATTTAATGATGAAAAATAATAAATTTACTTTTATTTAATATTTTTTCTTCTAATTTTATTATTTCAAGAAAGGTACGCATTAAAAAGGAAATAAAAGCCGATATCATTAAACATTACAATCAAATGAAGTTTAAGCATTAAAAAAGTAATTGATCTGAATTTGGGTAGTTTTTATGTGAATTGCTCTTCTCTTTTTGGTTCATCATTGTTTCACACCTCATTTTCCAATCTCAATGTGATTGATGAGTGATCACGCCACATTTTCACTGTGTCTAGTTGCTTGGTGGCTCCATAATTTCTTTAGCCAAAGTAACTTTGATTGAATTTTGCAAATTGTGTGTGAGGAGCATACCAATGACCAAGATTGGAAAAAGATAGAAAAAGAAGTTCAAAGTACACATTTAATATTGATTGGCCTTATATATATATATATATATATATATATATATATATATATATATATATATATATATATATATATAATTATTAAAGGTAGAGAATTTGAATTTAGAAAATATATTTTGTAAGTGATGAAATTAAATTTGAAGGGAACAGTTTCCAATAAAGGATATCCGTTCCGTTCCGTTGTTCCGCACTGTCAAGGCAAGACTGTGCCACTGCCTCATGCTGCGTTGCAGTTGCTGAACGAGTTTGGACCATCTCGTGTTTTTTTTTTTTTTTTTTTAATATTCAATTTTTTATTTTATCTTGTTATTATTTACTTGTTACTAACCTTATATATTTCAGAAAACATCTCCTCTCTGAAATAAAATACAGGACGATATTTATCGGAATTTAAAGCATGTTTGAGTAAATTAATTTATATTAATTTTAAATTGTGTAAACATATACAAAGAAAAGAAGAATGGTCATTTTTCTCTATATAACGTAATTTTAATAAATTATAATTATTAGTTTTAAAAATTAAAACATGTGTTGTATGTTTTTCTTTAGAGATAAATCTTAGTTTATGATATATTCAAAAATATTTTATAACAACTCAATATTATAATACCAAAATTGAGATATTAGAAATAAATTATAAGATTTAAGTAAAATATAATTCGTTCTAACAAAAATATATATTAAAAATAATTTATTAATTGAAAAAGTAAAATTAATATACATAATTACCTTATTTATATTAAATAAGAATATATTACTTAATTAAATTATATTTCTACAAATTTAATTATCTTAATATGAAATATTCGTTATTACCTTAATTACAGTTTTTTTATTGTTAAACTAATTAAATGTAGCTAGTGATAGAGGCTAACAAGGCATGAATGAAATATAATAAATTTGATAATAAACATTTTTACATGTACTAAAATATTTATCTTTAAACTATATTACATATTTTTACAATAAAAATTCAATATGTAAATATTTGGTTCAAAACCAAATTTAACTACATAATTCACTCTGATTGACAGCTTAAATTTAGATAAATAGTTATATATATATATAGTTAAATTATGTAATTAATTAATTTAATATTAGTATATCTATCCGTTTTCATGAAATTGAATTGGACCTTTTTAATAATTGAATATATTATTATTTTAATGCTTTGTATTAATTATTCGGTTAATATTAAATACATAAAATAATTGGTAATTGAGAATCAATTATGTGTTTCAAAGTTTTGTATCATCTGTATAAATTGAAAGTTGTATAGATATTAATTATAAGCTAATTTTTTTAAAGATATATCATCGTAAAACTTTTATTCATTTTATTATAATATTGTAATTTTCTATTCGACAATAACAATTTGGTCGAGTAAAACTTCTTCTTTATGTGAAAATTATAATATGATTTTAAAAATAATTTATTAATTTACACATATTTTCAGCTAAGAATATTCTAGTTTTGTATACATATATTTTTTATTTCTTTAATGATTAAAAAATAGTTATTCATAGAATTCGATTACTTTTATGATTTTGTTAATTAAATCTGTATATGTAAATTAGGTTAATCTCTTATGTAGGACCAAATTTTTAAAATATTTATAATAAGTAATAAGTCAATATCACTCTCTGTATCCTTTTGTTTCTAACAAAGGTTAAGTTCGAACCTGTAAAGTTTTTGGTTTCACATAGCTTATCTTTCATCCCTACTAGGCTCACTAGTGTGCATCACATGCATCCTACTAGAATAAAAAGCATTGATATTTTATTTTTATACACACTAATGGAAAAAATATATTTTATAACAGGTTTTTACATCGATTACTTAATAAGCCATTTAGAGAAACACAATAACATTTTTTTTAATATATATAGAAAAATTTTCTATATAAATTATAAACAACACTCACATGTATAAGTATTCTCTTCTACATTAATTATGAATACAAACTGATTCTAAAAAGTTTCATACAATTGAATACTTCATGTGATGTGAAAATGTAAGTTTGACACTTATGTTGGAGAAAGAAAAGGAAAAATTATTAGAAATGTCCATGAAGAAAGAAGATAAAGTGAAGAATTTTATTGGTCCATTAAAAAAAAATCTTGCTTAATAATTAGGTGTTTTTATTATGATTGCTCGTATTTTGATGGCATAAAAAAATAAAAGTATTCATTCAATAATTCATTTTTAAATTTTTATATTATTATTTATATATCTTGTTTTAAGATTATCTATCATAAGTTTGTAAAAAAATCTTTTCCCTTTTAATACATCATCTAAAACTCTTAAGGGAAAATAATGCTAGTTTAACAAAAGATAGTTACAGTGACAAGATATCTTTCAAGCATTTTATTTCTTCTATTTTCTATATTTGATTTTAGATGTGTGTTTCGTATTAAAACCTTTTTATAAAGAAATAGATTACATTTTTAACATTGACCCATTGCACACGGTAACTCTATGCTAAAAAGACCTCTTTTTTATTTTGTAACAATTTTGGTTTTATGCTTAGCAAGTGTCTATATTATTAGAAAATTGGTACCTTAAATATAGCATAAAACTTCATTGAGATTAAGATTCTAAATTTGGCACCTGTTTGCATGTTCATCAGATTCGGAAAGTAAAAAACAATTTAGAACACATATTAGACAATACAAACACAAACCCAAATCATTAACATCGACAATCCACTTTCCCCTGACTTCAGCCGGAGATTAATATATTAATTAATAATAAACGAAATTAAACAAACAATTAGGTGAAACTAATAAATATTTACAGCACAACCCTGTTTGTTTCTAATAGTAAATTATTTAACACCATTTACCATCTTGGAGTTCAAGATCAGGCAAGGGAAACCGGAGAATAGCGGCAACGCCGGTGAGCTGCTCCAGTTGCGGCGCCGAAACATGCATCGGCGAATACACCAAAGCCCTTCCTCCACCGTCTTTCACCGATTTCAACAGACCCGAGTACCTCTGCCTCGTACCAACTTCCTCGTTCCTGTAAAGATCATCGGTAATCAAAAGTGTCTCAATCGCTCTCATTTCTATCGCACGCTCCACCTCCTTGGGTCCATAACACGCGCGCCCCGAATCGTTGCACACCATCTCCCACAAATCCCTGAACGCCCCGACCCTGCTGTCATTCACCAACTCCGTCACCGCCCGATCACCCAAAACTTTCTCCAAACTATCGCCACCCTCCACGACCACCATGCGCGTCTGGTTCTCCTCGATCCACCGTATCCTCAACTTCCTCGCTTCCGACACCGCAAACCTGCGAAACTCCTCGCTCGTCACCACCATGCTCTTCACAACCTTGAAATCCACGTGCTTCACCAACGCCGCAAACACTCGGCGGAAAAACACGGAGGAAGAAACGTTTCCATTTTTTCTCGAGTTGGGAGAGGATTCGACCTTGGTGCAACGCGTGGAGGCTCCTTCTTTAACGACGTGGATCTCGGCGTGGTGCGGGTGGAAGAGAACGACGGCGAGGTCGGAAATGGAACTGGAATTGGATTTGGAATTTTCTTTTTGGGTGGTGTCATTCAGGGTTTGGAGGGCCTCGTTCTGCCAGAGATTTTTGCGGAGGATGAAGGATTTCTGGGGTTCGAGGGAGAGCGTGTGGAAGGAGCCGGATGCGACATGTTGGTTGGGTTGGAGGTTGCGGCCGTGGAGGCGGAGGGTGGAGGAGTCTTTGTGGAAGTCGCGGCTGGTGACTTTGAGGTGGAGGGTGAGCTTGACACGTGAGGCGTTGTTTTTCTTGGTGGAGGAATCGAGGTAAACCTTGCGCGTGGTGTCGGCGGAAACGACGTCGCCGGGGAGGATGAGGTTGTAGAGGACCCACACGTCGTCGGGTTCTTCCGCCATGAGCTTAGCAGTTCCAGTTTGATTCAGGGCGAAATCTTTCTCGAGGATCTTCATTGTTGAAGGGTTTAGTTTATTTTAGGTTAGGTTAGGTTAATGATATTGTTATTAGGGAAAGTTTACGTATGAATAGGTATGAATGAATGAATGATATAGGAAGAGAGAGGAAACCTGGTGGTGGTGTTTTCCCCGTTCTCCTCTCTTCTTCCAGTGGATAGGGATAATGATCTTTGATCTTCTTGTGTGTATGTTGGGAATCAACTTGGAATTAATAGAGATATTGATTTCTCCATGCAAACAATTCATTCCTTATTTTGGGTACAAGAAACGCAACATGCATGCATTCATTTTTGGATTTCTTCCATGTAACCTGCTCCACTTATTTTTATTTATCATGTAATGTGTTTTTGTATTGGATCAGTGTAATTCATCATGTCATGTAACTATATATAGTTTTGTTGTAAAAACATATTTTTGTAAATTATATTCATTTTTTTATTCATATTTGATAAAATTGGTATAAAATCATAAAAATTCTTTTTAACACATAATTTAAATAATTATTATAAAAAGTTAATGTAAGGCATAGAAAATAAGTTGGTAGTGCTCCTGGCTTATGATCATAAATTTATTAATACATTTTTTTTATATTTTTATTTTATCAATATAATGTCATTGAGTTCAAAAATCTACATTAACTGCTTGACAATTATAATTTCTGAGTTAAATTATTTTGATATTAATTATAAATCTATTCCAAAATTTTCGCTTTAAGAGGATTTTATCTTATATATTCGTTTATTTAGTTATATATATCCTTTATTTTCGGATGAACAGTATAAACTATTATTCAATTGAAGTCAGTAAGTGTGTGGCTGCGTTACAAAAAGTTTCATTTTTTAACTCATTGTTATATGTACACTTCTCTTTCAGTGTCAAGTAGATGTTAGGTGTTCATAAATAATTATTCCACAAAAGAACCTCAATAAAAAAAATTACGAAAATATGTTTTTATCCTTTAATGTAAACGCAATTCAACTTCTGTCCCTTAAAATTGTAGACTGATTTTGATCCCTTAAATATAAAATGGAATCATAAGTGGAATTCATCATATAAAACGTATACTCGTAATAATAACGTGACTGCCCTCCGGTTATACGTACGAATGCGAAGCCAGAAATAGAAGAAGATAAGTGGGTAACATGACGTATCTTCTAACAAGAGTGGCTCAGTGAAAAAGAATTCAAATTATTACCTTTTAAACATTTAATATAATTAATTTGATAGGATCATCTGAAAAAACAAATTAGTGACTGATTTATAGGTTTTAAATGACAAGTGATGATAATTTAGAGAATAATTAAATGATACAGTGAATAATGTGCACAAACGTTTTGGTTTTGGTTACATGTCGTTTATTCATTCAATTATAATAAAACTTGATTTCTAATGATTATGCAATATATATATATATATATATATATATTTTTTTTTTTTTTCTTTCTTTTATTTATCCAAATAATTACCCTTGTGATCGATCTTATTTGGTGACGATAATATGAGGTTTTAAAAGGAGATGACAGAAAAATTACTCGCCAAGTCCCATCGCTCATGTCATACACCTATTTCACCGCTTGCTATAAAGTGCGGTGGTTTCCTCTTCGCAGCAGGCCTCGATGGCGATTTGTAAGTCGGAAAAGGCGCGGGCCTTGACGGCTTGGATTTCCTCATGAAACGAGTGGACGAGATTTTCGAGGACGATGTAATTGAAGGCAACTAAGAAGGCGGGTGACGAACTGGTGCTCGCCGTCGGGGTGAGGGAGTCCTAGTGACGGAGGTCTTGATAGGTCAACCTCTTTGGCAATCCTGAAAAAGGCTTCGACTTTCTTGTACATTTCCCAACTTTAGGCGTATTGGATTGGGAACATGCAGAAACCGATCAGGTTTCTGCGTGGCTCTTAGGAGATCACATGCATTGTTATGGTTCTCGTAGGCATTATTGCGGCCAACCTGCTTCTGGGTTCACACTCCTTTAGCTCCCCTTAACCCTAGCGCCATGTACCTGTGCTGCAGGTTCATGAATGTGAGGGGGACGGTGATATCAGACAAATGAGGACTACATCGGCTTCGGTATAACGTGGTGAATGACGTGCAGGTACTACCCCGCTTTATCGGGGAGGACGTTAGAATGATATAAGAAAAAAAAAGATTTAAATCTATCTTTATTTTTGTTTAAATTTATTTATTTATACTTTATTATTTATTTTATAAAAATTAAAAATGAGACTATAACATGAATTCTTAGATGAGTTTTAAATTTCGAATTGAATATTATAGATTGATTATAGTAATAAAAATATTGTTTATTATTTATTATTATTAAATAAATAAAAAAATAAAGTAGAATCATTGTGTTAGTAAATAAAAATATAATTTAATTATTCAATTTAATGAAAAATATTAATATATTATAATTTTTATTAAGAGGACGGTTATTATTTTTAATAATATTTTTCCCTTAAAAAATAAAAAAAATATATGAATATTGAAATTATATTTGTAAATAATGATTTATTGACTTTAAATTAATTTGACATTATAAAGATTTTATTCTCCATAACTATCTATAAGTATTTATAAGAGATTGGAAATTTGTATAACGACCTCTAAAGAGTAAGGATATTCTACAAAGATTTGTAAGAGATTAAAAATTTCTATGATGTCCCTTATGCAGCCAAGATATTTTACAACCGACTTATAAGAGATTAGGAATTTCTACAACGATCATGAAGTGGTTAAGATTTTCTACAACCGACTTATAAGAGGTTAGAAATTTATACGATAATTTTAAGCGGTCAAGATTTTCTACAACCGACCCATAAGAAGACAAAAATTTCTACAACAGCCCATAAGCGGTCAGGATATTCTACAATCGACCCATAAGAGATCGGAAATTTCTACCACGACCCTTAAGCGACTAGGATATTCTACAACTCATAGTAGGTTAGGAATTTCTACAACTACCCTAAGCAGCCAAGATTTTCTACAATCGACCCATAAGACAAAAATTTCTACAACGGCACCTAAACGATCATGATATTCTACAATCGACCCATGAGAGACCAAGAATTTCTACAACCGACCCATAAGAAATCACGAATTTCTACAATGACCCATAAGAGGTTTAAGATTTCTACAACAACCCATAAGAGGTCGAAATATTCTACAAAAACTCATAAGAGATCGAAATATACTACAACGACTCATAAGATGTCAGGACATTTTACAATGACCCATAAGAAAACTAGGACATTTTACAACCCAAACAAGGTGACACCTAAGATTACAAGTCGGAAACCGACCTGTATAACAACCAAGTTACTTGTACTAACGTGTAAACATAGTTTTCTCAAAAGATCGACCTTTAACAATTAAGGATAGAGATTGTAATGTCCAAATAATTAGTCTTGTCACATGATCAACCTTATAAGTCAGATTTATGACGAGACAATCCATTCCAAAAAAAATCACGAAAATCTAACTTAAAAATAAAACAAATATGATTCAATACTAAAAATAAATATAAGAAGGTATTAGGATTAAAAATAAGAAGAAAAAATAACTGCTATGACCTTTCGTGGCATTAATGGGAGGATTTTACTCAATTTTATTCAAATAATAATCAAAATATATAAGAAAATGTTTTTTCCCCCATAATTGATTTAATTAACCGTTTGATGTGATGTGCGAGTGATAATTGGTTGAAATGACACAATAACGTGGAAGTCCGGATAGCGGGTTGCACGTCCTAAGGGTATAGTATAGTAGTGCCTTTCCACGTTTGTCAACAATTCAACCATTTTGCTTGTTATATATATATATATATATATATATATATATATATATATATATATATATATATATATATATATATATATATATATATATATATATATATATATATATATATATATATATATATATATATATATATATATATATATATATATATATATATAGTTCTTTCAGCTACATATTCCCGTGAATGAAGAGAGAGAGAGAGAGGAAGAGATGGGGTTTGCAAGAGCTTTGATGATCATTGTTACCTCAATGCTAGTGGGTTGCTCCTCAGCTTTGGATGAATCGGGAGTAATTTACGTGGGTGGAAAAGTGATGTGCCAGGACTGCACTCGGGGCTGGAACGAATGGGTTAATGGTGGCAAACCTATGAAAGGTATTGTAGCATTGTCATTGTAATGTTAGCTTCATCTTTCATTCATATATTCATATTAACCTCAGCTAGTAACTAATTGTGCTTGCACCACCAGGGGTTAAGGTGTCCCTAACATGCATGGACAAGAGAAGCCGGGTTGTGTATTATACAAGTGACACAACAGATGAGTTAGGGCAGTACGACTTGAGTGTTAAAAAGTATGTCTATGGCAAGGAATTGGATACAAAAGGATGCTCAGTGAGGTTGGTGTCGTCTCCAGATAACGTTTGCAACCTCCCCACCGACTTTGGTGGTGGAAATTCTGGCGCCAAGCTCAACAACCCTACATCAGTTTATCGCAGTTTGATCAAATACATGATCAATCCTTTTTATTACACCACCCCTATGTGCGATAAACCTGACACTGAGGTCTCTGATTCTGAACCTCAAGATTACCATGGACCAGGAGGCTATTACTAATCAATGCCCACGCTCTCTCTGTGCTTAATTTCAATACAATTGATTATTCTCTTGTTTCTCATCTATTTGCTTTTGCAAGAAAAGTGTATCTCATCCTAAATTTGATAACAAAGGCGAGAAAAATATATGTGTGCTCCTTCGTACAAATATAACATGAATATTTCTCATGTCCAAAATAAATTGGCCAAACACAACCTATTTAATTTAAGGCTGTTTTCTTTTTTTTTCCAAAAAAAGGATCAACTTGTTGTATCTGTTAAGACAAAATGGCGAAATCGGACAAAATGTTCGAAAGGGCTTAACAACTTAACATAAAATGGGTTCTGAGAAACTTGTATTTGCTCCCAATGAAAAGAAAGAAAATTTGTTTTTTATTATACAACACAACAGTAAAATCCTATATGATGGTGAGATCACAAGTTACAGGATGTATGTGAGAGTTTATACAGATAGTGTTGAAGATCGCTGAATGGCCGATCACAAACCAGTAAAAACAACTGAAGAACTGAGACGAGTACATACCTCATCTCAGTGGAACTGAAACCACTCGACAATGTCACTAGAATGAACAATCTCAGGCTGCACATATATATGAACAATCTCATTTATAGTAGATTGCTGTATCCCAGCGACTGCAACTTTGTATGATGGTGGAAAGTATCTTTGACCAATGTCAATAATGAATCAAAAATAAAATTCGTACTGGCCAATACAAATTCGCGCTCATATTGTTGATGTTTTGGCAGCAAGATGTATGAGAGTCTTCCTGTGGTAAGTGGTACGTAGCTTTTTGTACTTTTGCAAGAAAGCCCCAAGATCAATCTCTCTGTCAAGGAAATGCTGGTGTAGATTGTCAGATTCCTCTTCAGTCTTATTCGCAGACTCTGCAAACATTATATAGTAGTTTATCCTATTCATGACTTTCCCTTTGTCTCAATAATAATAAAATTGAGATAACCTGAACTATTGCTGCAAACTACTATTCAAAGCCATACCTTGAATCCTCTGGATAAGGGATGCTGGCGAATTCAACTTCAACATTTCTTCCTTTTGCTTCTCAAGCTCATTTAGTTTCTCCTTTGCGGCAGCTAACTCGGTTGTCCGAATTATTCTACACTGTTTCCATACGATGAAGGAGAAACATTAGTAATCAACAATAGTTCGAAAAGAAAATATCAAACTAATCATAGGATTGTATTCTTACTTGATTCCTAAGTTCCATGATACGAGGTTCCTTCTGGAGATTTTCCTCTGTAGTAAAGGCAATAGTTTAAGAAGCTCTACTACAATTTAACAGTAGGCGGACCATTTCATGGCAATATATCAAATAAAAATAAATAAATAAATAACTCACCTGCAAGCTGTACATTCTCCTTGCAAAGTTCATCTTTCAGCTGATCAAGTCAATAAGCCAAATATACAAGTGTTAATACATGCAGCTACAAATTCCAGCATCAGCAGTGAAAGCAAAACCACCAGAAGAGAAAATTTGTATGCACTAGTAAGAAAGTAACTAAACTTTTTCAACTATACTTGGATGGAACTGCTTCCTGTGCAGGTGCAGAGTTCACTAGTTGTGACCGTATGAGTTGTGATGTGAGTATAAAGATTACTCCAAATAAGATTCTCAATTACAAATCTATAATTATTACTTTTTATTTCTTTCATTATTCTTTTCTTTTACACAACATTACACATTACATTTTTTTTTCTTTTCATATCTTTTTCTTATTTCTCAAAATACATACTCTTCACGACATGCAAAAAATCTAATTTTCTAAAATTTGTTTAGGATCATATTGCCTTAACAACCAATCATTGATTAAAAAACAATGGTGTATTCATACTTAAACTTTTAAAAAAGACAATTTAAAGAATTTAAAGACATCTGCCTTACATTAAAATAAACAACAGTCACGTAGAAAATATTAATATTTCTTTTTCATTTTCATTTTCATTAAATAAAAAAATGAGATTCGAGTCACTTTCCACCTTTTTAAGCAATACATTTAAAAATATTAAATTAAATAACACAAATTAAATTGATACAGATCTACAGCACCACCCTGTCAAAAGAGCTTAAACAAGATAAAGGGCAATCCAAAACAACAGAATTAAGGGATTGGGGAAAGGGGCAATAGCGGAAACACCCAGTAACAACAACAAGTGCATCCAGTAGCAAAAGCAAAAATAATCATAGCCAATCACAAGGATCACAAAGTCCAGATCTAACAATCTCACAAAATCATTTCAATTGCAGTGTTGCAATTAAGACCAGGTTCAGTTCTGGTGGGTTTATGAGTTTAGGCTGGTTTTCATTTATATGGATTACGCAGCTTCATCAAGCTGCTATTTTATGTCTACTTCCTGGGTTAGCTAAATCAGAAATCCTACAATACTTAAGCATTTGAACGCAATCCACCAACCCAGATATGATTGGAGTTTGGGATTCTTCCATCACTTCTAATGTGTAAAATCATACAAATCCATGTGAGGACAAACAAGTTTGAATTGTATAGGTAATAGATCAACTGACATCAGATGTTAAACTTGTAAATTGACACCTTTACTCATTCATATCTGAACGCACGATTCATTATACACTACAAATGATTCAACATGACTCAAGAAGAGCAAGAATCAGACTTTAATTGCAAGAATAAAAGAATTGCAAGATTCTAGCAAAGTTTCTCTAAGGCCTCAAAAGGAGTCATAGCACCCAGCAGATCCTGCAAAGGTCGTTAGGCTTGAAGCTTTGCAGTCAAAATTGGAGAAAAAAGTGACTGAATCAGGCAAATTGTGCCTAACTGCAGTTCTAACTTTTGTTCCGCTCATGGGCATGGTTGCATCTACCGGATTAGAAATGACAGATGATCTAATTCCCAATACTAACCTAAATAACATAGTATTGTATCGAATTTTACTTAGACAACTTTTGTTTTAGTTGGCAAGACAGCACTGTTTCGACTTTGGACCATCAGCTTTAACTTATTACTAATGACATGATATTTAAGTATTGTTTAATGTCCAGTGTCAAATTAAAATATTTAATTGATGTGAAAATTGTTTTGTTTTGAATGACGTTCAATATCTTTTTATTATAAATAAAATCTATCATGAAAAACAGAAAAATTTGTCATGGTTTTTCAAATACACATATTTAAGTAATGTATAAGAATTTTAATAACAGAATATTTCTTATAAATTTTGATATTAATTTATTATAATAAAATCTCATAGACCTCATGCATCTCATGCTCCTAGAGTCACATTATTAGTTATTGATCATGAATATGCATTTTAATATGTCTTTGTTAGTTGCATATGCCATTTTATTAATCACGAATCTTACAATTCACAGATCCATGATTGGGTAAATGGGTCTTCCAATTTAAAATTTATATACTGATTCAACTAACATGCCTCTAATAACTTTCTGCAAAAGATAAAACTTAATTTTCACAAAATGTTATTCAAGGTATCATTTTACAAAGTTGTCTCGATTGATAATGTATGATGCTGCTAATATACTACCACTTATCTTTCAAAAGTGTGTAAAAAATGTTCCACCGAGTGCATTATAAAAATCCAAGTTACAACTTGCAATACTCCTAGAAGACAAGTCGGAATATATATTGGCACCACCGTCATCTTTTAGAACAAAATACTAGTAAGTTATAACTTTGGGGGTAGGTTAACAATTACGTAGTCATAAATGAGAGTATATAAAGTATTAAAATCCTATGCACAAGATTGTTAAACTTGAGAGTTTAGGTAGGGGAACCCTGTAAACTTGAATTGCAGAGTTGCTTCGTAAACTCAGTAAGAGAAAATACAAAATAATGTTACACAACCTATCAATGACATTTCAACTCTAAACACAATAATAATTCAACATTTCAACTTCATAAAAAGTCAAACAGCATATCATGATAACAAAGTGTAGTAATACATTGGTACTAAATAAGATTAAACTATATAAATGACCATATTATATTTAAATTCATTAAAACATAAGTTATTGAAATGAGTTAATTTCTTTAAATCATTTGATTCATAGTTAAACAACGTCATTGTGGGGTCAATGGAGGCAAAAATTATAGTTTATTTCAAACTTGTTGACTCGCTTCTTCACTCGAGAGTTAATACAAGTTTGAAAACAATGAGGGGGAGATTGATGGCAATATGAAACATGTCCCTACATTCCTAAGAGATATTTTGATGATGATTCAAGTCAACAACATTCAAGACTTAAGCAAGCCCAAGATATGATTTTGATAAAGATTTAATTCAAACATGAAGCAAGCCCAAGATGATTCCTGAAGACTAGATAGAATCTTAGAATACTAGATATGGAGGTACAAGCTGGTGAAGTGGTATTATGCATAAGCCTCCAAAGCACAAGTGTGATAAAATTTCATAATATGACATTGTTCACTGTCATAATCGATTATGTGAGGGTCATAATCGATTATATCAGCAAATAAACTTAATATGACATTTTTCACTTACATAATCGATTATAATGCATCAGAAATGGAAAAACAATTTTCTCTTTGTCATAATCGATTATACTGGTAACATAATCGATTATGACAATTTAAATTTGAAAAATATATCCATTTTTGAAGAATAAATATTTTTGGGTATATATTGATTTTTCTCTACGAAATTATTAATGACCAACGGCTATTTTCTGATACTATTTTCTTATCTAAATAAATTTTGATGAAAAATCAAAATACACAATTACTGAATTCAAATATTCAATTTACATTCAATCAGTTTTGAGAAAAGAATTTTGAGCAAGGCAACAGAGCACTTTTAGGTTTTCTAGGTTTTCTGAGAAAACTTTTTCATATTGCCTTCTACGTTTTCATTGGTAATCACACTGTGCTATTGGAGTTATCATTCTACAGGCTTCTACAATCTGTTGTCTCCATTACCAGGTGTGTTTGTTCTTATTTTCTTTGCCTACAAACTAAGGGTTTTCTTGAGTGCACTGTTTCTTGAGAAGTGTGTTTCTCTGTTCATCCCTTTGATTTGTTCGGGGAAGTGTTCATCCTTAGTGGGATTCTAAGGAGATGTTTTCATCCCTTTAATTTGTTCGGGGAGGTTTCATCCTTAGTGTGATTCAAGGGAGGTGTTCATCCGTTGTGTGTTGATTGCAAATGAGGTGTTTTTCATCCTTTGATTTCTTCAAAGGAGGTGTTCATCCCTAGTGAGATTCTAGGGAGGTGTTCATCCTTAGTGAGTTTCTAAGGAAGTAATTGTCTTTTTAATTAGTTTACTCTTTATTCCTTTGCTGAGTTGATTGTAATTTGTAAACTGAATTTTAAAGATAGTGAATTGAGATCACTTTTATGTTAGAGGTGACTAGGAACTGGATGTATGATTGGCTATACCCGAACCAGTATAAATTACTGTGTGCTCTTCTCTCTTCATTTTATAACTCTTGGCTTTTGTTTTCCCTATATCTTCTTGATTATATTCTCGCTTCCGCTTTATCTATATTCAAACTCAATTTAATCAATTATTGACATCTTAAATAAATTTTAATTTGACATCTATTTTAATTGGTGCATCTATTCACCCCCTCTAGATGTCATTTGTCTAACAAAGTTTACCAAAGTTTTCCTAAATAAGAGTTTGATAGGGAGTTAACTCATTTTGGCTACCTAGAACAGTAAAATTGTAAGAGCTTAAGAGTTAACTCAAGATTTTAGCAACCATGTCAGTACATATCCATAATGTCTAAAGGTAAATTACACTTTCAAAGACACAAGGACGAATAATGCATGCAACTGAACTCCATCTCAGTGCAGTACAAAGGAACAAAAAAATTCTTAAGTATTCATTGTAAAAGCAGCACAATGAAATAAATATTTTTTAAAGGAAAATATGAAAAGCCACCAATATTGTAAAACCATTTATCAATAAACAACTAGAGGCATTTCTCTAGGTTGGATGCAAAAACTGCCAGGACCAGGCAGCTAATACCAACCCTAAGGCCTAGGCAGTAGGATGAAATCAATAACTTCACATCACCTTATAATTTGGGGGGATTGGGGGAGACTTCATAGAGAAGAAGGTGAAATCAACTAACAAGTAAACATACCAGTTCCAAGGTAATAAACCACAAGAAATTGGAGTGAAGATATGAAACTTACATTAGTTTGAATCTTGACCTGGTCAAGCGAATGTAAAAACTGCTGATACGCATCTTTGTCAGATAAAAGCTTCCGCAACTCATCAACACTGCAATTTATAATGAACAGAAAAATTAATTAAGATCAGCATAATGCAAAAAATGGAACAGTTCACAACTTCAGAATAACTAGAAAATACTAATTGTACAACTAAGAACACCCTTCCCAACTAATTTCCATTTATAAAATCAGATACAACAAAATTATAAAAAATAAACTACGAAATTTCAAACCTCTTGTCCTTCAAAACGGCAATAACTCCAGCAGCTTCAGAAGGTGGAACATGAGAAGAAGGCCTATGTGACAATGAAGAAGAAGATCCAGACGGTGTAACAGGCCTTGATGAACTCGGTGAACTTACAACTGATGGCGGATACCACGACTGTGACTGTGAAGTACCATCCTGTGATTGTTGCTCTTGCGATCCCCTGCATATAATCAGAAGATGGAAATTCACATATGCTATTAACCACTATCAAATTGCAAATTCATTTTATTACCATACCGATGTTCTACTGAAAGCTTGATGTTATCAAGCTTACGATAACAATTGCAGTGGCTAAAAAGACTAATATTGTTATTCATATATGGTATCAAGCTCTATATGTTTGGATTACTAGAAATAGATGGACAGGAATGGAATAGATTGAAATGAAATGGAGTGGAATGAAACATAACAGAATAAAACTTTTGTCCAATTGTTTCAATATATTACGAGGGAATGGGACAAAATTATGATACCATTTTTTGATTAATGAATGGACGGAATATATGAATTCCTTTGTCAAATATTACATTTATCTTTTTTATATATGTACTTATATTTATGTTACCCTTAACTTAAATATATATAAATTCCAATCATGTGTTATCTTTCTCTTTTTATTGTCACCTGCCACATGCCTATGACAATAATTAGAAGCAACAAGTTGTAAAAAAATGTTTTGGAAACAAAAATACTTAAGGATGATTAAACTAGCATCTTAACCAGAGGAGCTTAAAGATGAAAAAGAAAGTGGGGTTGTGCAAAAAATAATAATTATAAGTTAAATCATAATTTCAAAACTAAAAATAAATGATGGAATCTTATTTTAAGGAGATGGAGAGCAATCCTAATGGAGACATGTGGGAAAGTAAAGTATTCGTTGCCTATCTATGGTCTCCTCCCATGGTGTCGTGTATTCATAGTAGTTAGTTCTACAGGGTAGAGGGTTGCAGAAATTAAAGAATAAAATAATAAATTCCCAATAAAATAGAGAAAGGCTGGAAAGTAAGAAAAAGGCTGAACCAATGGAATCAATTGGAATGAGTTCTCAATCCAAAAAATGGGTATTAAATCAATTCAATCACATTCATTTCCCTTCAATTTCATTCCGTTAATCTAAACACACAGAGATGTAGGTATGTGTGCATATAATATTTAATGAATAGGAGTTTGAAGGGCGTAACGAAAAATTACCAGAATCTAAACATGGCTAACTGGTTCCGAATTGCTGATCCACCAAACTAAGAATTACCAGAAACCCTCGAAATTTCAGAGAGAAGGAAACTTCCGAAGAAGAAACTAGTTCCTTCTTTCAATAGAGTTATATTTTCCAGGAGGTTTCAGACATAAAAATAATTTCGGAGCTTTGGGCTGGCTATTGCTGGGCCCCTCGTTTAAGTTGATCCAATAATAATGTCCAGCCTGACCCATTCTTTTTTTTTTTTTTGAGAAAGTTGGTTTCATAAACTATCAATTTTTTTTTGTTAGCATGTCAAATTGTTTGAACAAAATCATTGTTAGGTTTTTTTTTTTTTCCACTTATGTATCCCCAGTATCTTTTTATTCATCATCACATTGCACTTTTGTTTCTCTCTTCTTTCTACTAATTTTTTAAAATATATAAATCAAAATAATTATATTTTATATTATTATTCTCCTTTTTATAAACTATAATATTATTATATATATGAATTTTTTTCTCTCTCTTCTATGGTATTTACAACAATTCTAAAAATGAAAATCCATTTATATATAATAAAGATAAATTCCTACGTTAAAAATTAATATTAATACACATAGTTTGGTTTACTCTTACACTCCCTTAATTAAGCATTGTGGATATTAATCACGTATTTCTCTTCATCTAATCGCTTTTTATCCCAATGTCTAACTTGAATTTTAAATTTTATTTTATTTGTATAAAAATTGTCAAGGGAGAAATCCTACAAATTTCCCTTACTTTTATTTTTTAAATGTGGGAATTTATTAGTAAAAAAAGAATAAAATTATAAGCATTAGTGAAAATATATGTTCGTTACCATTTAAATGATGGTTTTGACAAAAAATATTAGTAAAATACGAACTCATTATACATAAATTTAGTATATTTGAGAGAAAAGTAGAGATTCTTTTTTAGGATACATTTGAGTTAATCACTAACAATGGTTATTTTTTTTTAACTGCATTTCTCGCAAGTGATTTAGATATAAAATCACCCACCAAGGTTTAAGTAATTTCAAAGTTACTATTTTTTTTTCTTTTAGATTGAAAATTATATAAGTGTATATAGTGACGGATCTTGATCATTGATCTTATGGGGCTAAATAATATATTATTAATAAATAATAAATAAATATAAGAGGAAGAAGGAAGATGAAAGGGTAAAAAGATAAAATTGTAAATATACTTAAATATATTAAATGATCATTAAATCAGAGGGAGACAAAATTATAAATTATATAAAAGTTACAAAATTGAGAAGAGATTATAAGAAGATAAAATTGTAAATATATAAATAAATATATTAAATATTTATTAAATATAAAAAGATCAAAATTATAAATTATATAAGATTTAGAAAGTTTGGTACTCAACTCCCAGATAAATGGGTGAGTAAGTATATACTAAAGTGAGAGTAAAAAACAAAAGAAAAATGATAGTAAAGAAAGTGAAAGTACAAGGGGAAACAAATTATTAATTTTTTGCTTTGCATGACCTTGATTGGATATAAGGCAAATTAAACTTTCGATCAATGCATCCTGACATGATGTTTTGTCTATATTCTGCATAGTGATTGATCTAATTAACCCTACAGTGCCTGAAAACTAGGTTTTACCTTCCGGGGCTTAATATTTTTACCCATGAACAAAAAAATAATAATATATAACCATTGATTCCCCAAGTTAATATATAATAGTAAGGAAAATAATCAAAATATAGAAAAAAACAGTATTATCCAGTGTTTACTACAAATATTTCTTACAAAGTTCTATCTTATCTTCAATTATATGCAGGTTTTTTCTCTTTTTGGCATATCTTCAGTTAAAAGTAATCAAAGATGTCATGATCATGGTTGGCACTAAAATAAGTGTTTCATTTTTTATATAAATAAATAAAACACAAAACATTGATAAAAGTGAAGTGGCCTATAGTATATAGGTGTAATAGAAATTAACGCAAGGGAAAAAGAATTTACAAGTTTTATAGAAAAATACTTTTACTCTAATTATACTAAATTTTATAAGAGTATTTTAATAATATTTTGTCAGAGAAGAAAACAACATAATAAGTAATATTAAAAACAAATAGAAAAGGGACTCATAAAAAAGTTGAATAAAAAGTTACCTGGAGTGTGAATAAATAAACGTATAAGAATATTATTAGTCCCATTTTACAAAATTATATCTTTATCTTATTTATTTGAACTATTGTATGAATTAAAACACAAAATGCAGTAAAAAAATATAACACCAACACATTCTAAAGAGTTCGATAATTTTTTTTAATACAAACTTAAATATTATAGCATGTTATTGCATAAAAATTAAATATTATTAAAAAAATTACCCGAGACCAACTCACGTACGTAGATAAAATAAAATAAAAAACATTAACATAAAATTTAAATAATCTTAAACTTAACTAAACATTATTGTTCATAATATGTTAAAAAGAGTTAACACAAAATTCTTTGGGATACCATATATTGGTAGTGGGAGCCACCAATATGTGACAGACCATAGAGGTAACGCCACGTGGATAAGTATTGCATTTGATATCTAGGGTAGGTAAATAATGGTATTTGAGAAAATGTTGCATTGTGCTAAACGTAGAGACGCAAAGAAGATCCAAAGTAGCGCCAAACACATCTCCAACATCCAACGCTCATGATCTTCTCTTGCAGACTGTTTTCCATCTCATCCGTCCACTCTCCTAATTCTTTAATCATCCTTTGTCCTTATACACTCTTTAGCGTTGTTGTGTAGTTGAATTCTAAGTTGAAGGCTGTTTAATATTCTATTCTCTTCTCTCTTTCTCTACCTCGCCATTTTCATCTGCAGCAGCATCAGCTTCCTCTCTCATTATTCCACAATTACTGAACCCCATCACCGTTCCATCATTCTCCACGCACCCATTGAACCACATTATCAATTTTAGTTATTATTATCCACATCCACCGACAATGGTATATATATATATATATATATATATATATATATATATATATATATATATATATATATATATATATATATATATATATATATACACACATCTGTTTTCATATTTAACTACATAGTCTTAGATTTTATTTATGTCTTGAACGGACGAGTTTTAGAATGTCTATTTTTCTGACAATGGGATTTGAACAGGACACAGTTCTGGTTCCTCCTTGGCTGGAACAACTTCTTCACACACCTTTCTTCAATGTGTGCCGGATTCACACAGACGCAGCTAGGAGCGAATGTAACATGTTTTGTCTAGATTGCAATGGCGAAGCCTTTTGTTTCTACTGTCGTTCTTCTCGACACAAAGATCATCGGGTGATTCAGGTGGGTGGAGTAGAACAATCTGGTTCATTTACCTATCACCATTTGATTTTTCATACGATAATGTTTAATTTTGTTATTGAATAATTTGTGAGGTTGTTATTGATGGATAGATAAGAAGATCTTCATATCACGATGTAGTGAGGGTGGCTGAAATTCAGAAGGTGTTGGACATAAGTGGAGTGCAGACATATGTGATAAACAGTGCTCGAGTTTTGTTCTTGAATGTGAGGCCTCAACCAAAATCTGGGAAAGGAGTAGCTCATATTTGTGAGATTTGTGGAAGGAGTCTCCTGGACCCATTTCGCTTCTGTTCTTTGGGATGTAAGGTAAAATATTATTAATAATCTTAATCTTAATAATAATAATAATAATATTATTATTATTATTGTTCATTTCATTATCAACATGCACATCATTCACAACTCAATCGTCCTCATCATATGGGTATAACACCCACCACCCATACATCATCACCTACATTTGAAACCCCATCACCATCATTCACCATCATAATTATATTCCCTCTACTTTTGAATATTCATCATGTCTGTGCATAACAATATCGCCTTCACTTAATTCATTTTTAATAGTGATAATCATATCAATAGTTAAAATAAAGCACGAGTTTTGCTATTATTTTAAATTTGATGAGTATTGTTGGGAACATGGCGTGATATATAATTAATGTGACCATTTAACACAATGGTAGTGCTAAAACGTACTTTAATTGTGAAATTTAATTAGCTTGAAGGAATAAAGAAAAATGGGGATGCAAGCTTTGCTTTGGATGGTAGGAATGAAGAATTGACCATGGATACAACTTCAACTTCAAGGGGATCAGTCTCATCAAGACAGCAAGAAGAAGGATTGCGTGAAGGTTCAACACAAGACATGTATCCTCCTCAACCTCCTTCAAACGCAAGAAGAAGGAAAGGAATACCTCATAGGGCTCCTTTTGCTTCCTAACAATGCTTATTCCTATTCCTTCTGCCCTTCAAATTGGTACATATTCAATATTCAACTTCATCTCATCACAACATACATATATTTCTTTTTTTCCTTGTAATATACAATAGTGGGAAACCTCGTGATTATAAATTTTTTTCAATAAAAAATTAGCTGGCTTTGGAGGGGGATTTGTCCAAGGTCCGTGATGTGGGAAAAAAGAAAAGGGTATATAGGAAAGTTCCCTCTTTTCGGGTTTAAAAAAAAAAAAAAAAGAATTCCCCCTTGTGAAGATTCAATAATGTAGGTTTGTTTAATGTTTAATTGCTGTGGGTGTATACGTAATTAAGGAATAAAAAGGCAAGTCTTTGGGAACTCCGTTTTATAGTTTTCTATGGTCCACCATCCACATGGGTCGTTTACATAAAGATAACCATAGTTTTTTTTTTATGTATCTTTTTTATTTTTATTTTATTTATTAATTCGTGTGCATGTAAAGTAACGGGGACAAATCAACTTTCTATTCATCATTGCCAAATTTGGAGAGCTCAGTGAATTGCCCACACTTTCTCTTCTTTTGCCCTACATTACCTCCTAAAAATACGCCCTCTGCTTTTCTCTACATTCCTTCGTTAATTTCTTTTCTTCTTTCACTGATTTCTTTAACACTGTAATTGTAACAAATGTTAATGATTTCTTTTGCTTTATCATTGCTTAGTGACCTTTTTTCTGTGATTATATAATAAACTGACGAGACAATACAATTTTTATTTTTTGGACAAAGTGACGAGGTAGTTTGGTAGGAGCGCTGGAATTGGAGCCTCACTAAAAACAAAACTCATAGATCTATCCATCTACCTTTATCATAAATTCATAAATCTGTGCAAATAAATGATCAATAATTGAATTTAGGTGACAACATTATCATACTTCAAAACAAGATTATGGATCATGTCGGGGTTGGTCGAATCCAGTAAGATAACTAGGATGTTGTATTTTTAGTTTCTTACAATTTGAGTTTAAGATTGTTAATTTATTTTCATCAATGTTTGTGTTCCTTATTCTCTCTGTCTTGTTTCCTGCAAAATTGATTTGTTGGAATTTTTTTAAATGAAAATTCAGTTTTTCTAATTGGGAGAATTTTTCAGTGTTGCGCAAAAATATCGCAATACTTTCATTATAGCTTACTCAATATTCATACATTTTATAAGTAATTAAATCTAAGAATAGAAAATACTAATAGATATTCTAAGAATTTTAAAAATAAAAATTAATTTAGAAATTGTACATTCTGATATAGTAAATATAATACCTTTTTAATACTTTTTATTTTAAATTCTTTAAAAATATTCAACGAACTAATTGAAAACAATATTATGCATCTTAATTATTGTCCCAACAATTGTAGAAATATTTTTAAAAAATTCTAATGATGACTTAGCAAATGTATATTTTCAAAAACAAAATCAATCATTTTCTTTTATTATTTCATAAAAATAAATTTTAATTAAAATCCCAAATTTATTTAAGTTATAAATAACTTTATTCTTTTGTTCACAATTGGGGTCAAGTTTTACATTTCCTAAACAATTACATAGCTTCAAACCTAGGAATCATATCAATGTGAGGTTTTATTCTATAGTTTCCTACCATTAAGGGCACAGATATGTGAATCCCTTGAACCAAAGAATTTATGTTTTCATAAACCATCTTAACACATAACTTCCAAACGAGGAATCACATTGATATGTGATTTTCTTGGGTACTTTTCTTTCATGTAGATCAATTCTCTTCTAAAGAAAGAGAAAACTCCACAAAGTTACTATAACTTTATAAATAATTATTAGTCATAATTACAAATATTTTTTTCCCCACACTTTCCTACCATTGAGAGTTATTTTACCTTAAAATTTTAATTTTACTTGTTAAAAACCATACATGAAATTAGGATTGTCTATTTCTACTTCAAAATAAGTTTAAAACGTGCCCTTAAAGAATAATTATAAGTTTATTAGAGGATCTTGAAAGAGATTTATTATTAGAAGTTACTTAAGAATAAAAATAAATATTTTATTATAGATATCAGAATTATTTAAAAATAGAGAAAATTATTTAAAATTAAAAAAAAGTTATTTGTATAAATAATTTTAATTAAATTTTAAATAACTCAATCATGATATTTATAATAAAATATTTAATTTTATTTATAAACAACTATCAACCTGAATTTATTAACCATTTTTTCATCACCTTAATTATGCCCTTAACCGAACTTTCACATACTAAGCATATTAACAATAGTTCATGATATTTTTCAATATTCAAACTTCCCATACAAGCCTCCGTGATTTGACTCACACTTTGAAACCAAAATGAGAAAATTGTCATCCATTAACATGCACAAGATAATATGTGACTATTTCTTTCTCGTGGATGGGGTGATAGTTTTATTTAGCATATCCTCAACACAGATATTTCTGGCCCTATCCTCTTTCCCTCCACTACATTTTCCTTGATGAGGTACATATGCATGAGAGAGAGAGATTGAGATATTACAATGAATATGAAGACCCAAAAAAAAAAAAAAGGTGTGAGAGACAAACCTAAAAGATAGTGGTGGCAAGTGTTGAGGGTGCATGGAGGAAGAGAGAAAACAAATTGGAAGCGAGGATAAAAAGTGAAAAGAAGAAGAAGAAGAAGGAGGAAGGTAGAGAAAGAAGAGTTGGGTGCACTAATATTTATAAGTTGAAGCTAAAGTGGATCATAATTCATTAATGACATGTAGCATCAGTTAGGTTGATGCTATAATTGATAAAGTTGATGCTTCATTTTTGTTACTGTCATTTTAAGCCAACAACACTGACGTTTACCTAAACGTCAACTAACGTAGTCCATCCTATGTATTTTATTTTTATTTTTAAGTAGGGGTTGCATCCATCATAAAGTTTTTTACTCTAAAGTCAATGTTCTTATAATGACAATTCATAAATTATATATGTTAGTGTAAAAAACCTTGTCACATCTCTCCTATCCAATTAAATCTACAAACGTTTATTGTCTTATAAATGTATGTCTAATAATGAAGCCATCATACATAGACTAGATGTTTTACCTATATTGTTTTTCGACTTATCTTGTCCTTAATTATAGTTAAATAGTTACTTAATTTATTTTTTAAATGAGAATAAATATACATATATTTTTTAAAATGTAAGAAAATAGAAGTTTTTGAAAAGATATTATCTTTTCTCTTTCTCCGTATCTCTCCTTGCTTTCTTACCCCTCTCTCATATTATATTATCCAAGTTAAAAGGAGTGAAAAAAAATCGTTAACAATTATATTTTCTTTTAAGGTTTAATACTAATTAATTTAATTTTTGAAAATTTGGTTGCAACAAAACATAATCATGCACTTGGTTTCTTTGTTTTAAAAAAATTATATATTTTTGCTGGTTTATTTTAAATGATTTTGAAAGTAAATTATAAATTCTCCAAGATTATCAACATAAAAGTACAAAAGGGAAAAAAATAAAACACGAGAGGCTAAACACAAAATACTTTACGATATTAATATTCCACAGTAATATTAGAACTAAAGAAAAACATAAAATAAAACAACAGAGAAAGAGAAAAAGAAACGAGGGGGATGGAGAGAATCTGGAGTTCAAATTTCCATAAGATAAAATAATAATACAAGATAATAAGAACAGAACTTAACACTCAACAAATTCAAGTAAATGCCACCAGAAAAGACACCACATTCATCAACATTAACCGTGGTGCAGAAAATATCATTCCAAAATCAAGCTAGAATTAGCATAAACCCTAATGCGGTAATTGTTTAAGACACTCCCCATTGTTCACCATGACCAAAGTTTCCATGACTACACACCCTGAATCTTGATCACCTTATCAGAATCCGAGAGCTCCACCTTTCGTTGCTTCGATGGCAACACATAAGGGTACATAACAGAACTTAACACTCAACCGTGGTAATTGTGTTGATAACCAGTGCAGAGAGGCACAAACGAACCTGACAAAAGAAAAGAAAAAACAAATTATATCAACACAATTTATCACTCCATACTTTGTATGAACATGAAATTCTACTAAAACAAAAAATGTTGGTAAAACAATAATAATAATAATAATAATAATAATAATAATCCTGATTTTGATTCTAACGATCAAACATAAACATAATCTCATACTGATAAACATGTCATGAACCGAATGTGAAAGCGTACACTGAATGCGAAAGCGTACCTGAATTAGCCATAACGATGATGTCTTTGTAGAACACTATATTGATCTTATGGTCTTCCACCTGAAGAAGACCTCGTATTTCCCTCTTGATTTTCTCTCTTGATGGGGATAGAAAGAAAGGAACGGGACTGATTCTGTGTGTGCTCCCAGAAAGGGACCATGACCCTTTAGATAACCAGAATTAGGTTAATTACTTAAGTTTTAGTATTTTTAATTTGACCCCTCATTAAATTAGAAATTGCTTCTATGGTTTCTACACAATTTTATTTTCATGACATATGCCTTTAGCCAAAACTTTAATTTAATCAGATTACTTTATTATTTGGCTTAATAAATAATGACTCCCTAACACATTTAAATATATATCATATATATATATATATATATATGACCCAAAATTCGCCAACAAAAAAGTGATTCGAAGGTCATTATACGATCACGTCGCAGTAGACATAGGTCTACGCGCTACAAATACTGCACAAACACGGACCATTGTAGACCAAAAACAGCATGATGTGGAAATATTCATCCCCACCCATGAGAAGAGCTCATTTATAGATCAGAATTTTCTAGAATGGATCACTGTTCATTTATTATATCTTATTTATATTAATCTATCATTTGATTTAAGTATTGAAGTGTTGTATTTAGGAGGGGACATTAAAAAAATAAGGTTCAGGTGTTAAAATATTGAGTTATATATTCAATCTTGTAGGAAGTTCTCAATTTTAAAAAATAATCCTGAAAATTTTAAG